AATCGCGTTAGAGCAATTTCGCGTTATCAAAACAATGCTATAGCAAACATACACATGCATACATATGATACATACACATATGATATATTACATGATGATACATGACATACATATTATTATTATATTATACATAGTTATGAGAGAGCAGAGTATGGCATGGCATACAGGTATATATATAGGCGGTATGTGTATAGAGAGTGAGTATATATACAGTGAGAGGGTATGGCATAAGGGAGTATATATATATATACACACAATGTATATATATATATATATATATATATATATATATATATTTTTTTTCTGTACAAGGGAGTACATCGTATGACGTCGTCCCACTTAACGTTGTTTCAGTACTACGTCACTAAACTTTAGAGACCCAAAATTCGTTTAGCGTCCCGGTGTTCCGATACTACTTCGTTTTGTGTCGTCACAGACTACATTTTACTGTGCATCACCCTCTCTCGTCTGCCGTGCTATTGCAGAGTCTCAGTGACTCGCCACCCTCCTCCTCCCCTCCCGCCATCTGGCCTCCTCTGCTTCACTACCCACCACACACTGGCTCTACCACCTCCGCCCATCGGTGAGTACCAATACAAACTTAGTACACCCACTCCTCGTTTTACACGCATTTGATTTCGGCATTTTTGGAAAAACATGCTTGTTCAATTAATACCAGTTCGTAATTTACACGCAACTATTTTTTAAATAACATGGTTTAAATTTGCTGCGTATTTGCCTGTAAAGTCACAGCCATATCAACATGAATGATTTTGATATTATTATTAATCATAATTATTTTTATAATGTAATAATAAAGATTATTACAACTAATGATGAAGATCTTGATGATAATGAAGTATAAAGTACTGTACAACAAACATGAATGATTTTGATATTATTATTAATCATAATTATTTTTATAATGTAATAATAAAGATTATTACAACTAATGATGAAGATCTTGATGATAATGAAGTATAAAGTACTGTACAACAACTGTTACGGCGTCCAGCTCTTTAGTGTCTATAGCAAACTTCCCACGTTCGTTTCAGCACTACTTGTTTGTGTTTATCATGCATCTTTTAGTTTTCAACGCTGTTTTCTCCATCGAGCATGTCTGGAAAACGTCCATCTGCCGCCTCTGGTGAGCCAAAAGTTAAAAAGGCACGAAAAACAATCGAAATGGATCTCAAGTTAGATGTGATCACTCGCCCGTACCCTCGCATCAGTAGCCTCCCTCCTCAGCACTCCCCTACCCCACCTTTGTCAAGCAGAAGTCGCCAGTCATCAATGTAAGTGTTATTTAATATGTATTTCCTATTGTTTTTCTTTATGAATGAGTAAGGTAGAAGAATATTTATTGTGAGTTACCCTGTACGGCATATGATGGTTCCCCTAACCTGCTCCCCCTAAGCTGTAGCATTTACATGTATTCTTATGGGAAAAATAGGTTTAATTTACATATTTTTTAATTAAGCGGTGATTTTCAAGAACCTAACCCCCACGTAAAACAAGAGGTGGGTGTAGTTGTATATGTGTGCACTATTTTCTATAGAAATGGCAGTGATTTTCTGTATTCCTGTATGTAATGCATTTCATGGGGCAAAGGGAGGCTCGGGAACGTAACCCCCGTATTTTATCTTTCTTATGGGGAAATTTGATCTGCTTAACGTTTCGTATAACGTCGCGATTTTGGGGATGTAACCCCGACGTTAAGCGAGGACCCCCTGTATAACTAGAAACTTCCGGAGATTTTCTGTGAAAACGAGCATTTTCTTTCGTACCACATGAAGGCCAATAGTCAGTGGTGAATGTTGCAGCAGTATTAGAGCACGAGGAGATAGAAGGCTTGGAGAGTGGTGGGGATCAGGCATTAATAAATTATCTCCACTAACCCCTTCACTATGGGGACGCCACTGTTTGTTTTATTTAGGTAATGCCAGACGATTTTTTTCAGCACGGGTGGTACACAAAGGATTAAAATGCATTCCACACCTATTGGTTTCTATGTCTTGAGGGATACCTGTACAGTATTTAGCACAAGTTAAGGGAACTAGTATCGATTGATAATGAAATTCATATACTTTCAGTAATTTTATTTGCATTTATTGTACTTGTCTTTTAGAGAAGTTTGATGCCATTTGACAGTTTTATATATATATATATATATATATATATATATATATATATATATATATATATATATATATATATATATATATATATATATATATATATATATATACTGTATATATATATATAAATAAGAATAATTAAATTTTCCTTATTTACAGGTGAGATCATTACTGAGGCCCAGCAGCATGTTTAGTTTCATGTGTACAGTATATGTTTATTTTTATGATGAACTTTAAATATTCATTCATATCTAGTTTTATCTTTGAATTACAACTAGATATTTTTTTATCCTTATACATTATTTAATATTATATATATATATATATATATATATATATATATATATATATATATATATATATATATATATATATATATATATATATATATATATATACACTGTATAGAGCTAGCCAAAATAGGTACTGCAGACTCTGCCATCTTTTTTTTACTCTCCTCATTTCCTGCACGTGTGTGAATAATATTGTTGATATTTTTGTTCTGCAGTCATTTGGAAATATATATTTTTTAAATCTGAAAGCCATTTTTAAGGTTTCAGTGTTGGTTTAGTGTTGTTGATGAGAACCAGGTGAATTTTTGTGATCATTTTGTGTATTTAACAGGTATTGGTTACTGCTGTTTGTATGTAGGTAGTGCACTGATTTTGAACAGTTTGGGTTAGTTACCTATAATGCATTATTCTAGTCTTGGGCATAGGAATCATTTTCCAAATGTACTCTACACTTGATTTTCAAACAATTAAATTCTGTACTGATTACTAGTTAGCTAACCTTAGTTTTATGTAATACAGTATAGTATATAAATATTCTGTCCAACATTTTTTGTTAATTTAGTAGAATGTTTTAGTAGTGACTTTCTCTGGAAAAGTGTGTTTATATGTGTACAGTATATATATATATATATATATATATATATATATATATATATATATATATATATATATATATATATATATATATATATATATATATATATATATATATATATATATATATATATATGCATATATATACATATATATATATATACATATATATACATATACATATATATACATACATACACACACACACACACACACACACACACACACACGTAATCAACACCTCACCCCGTTAGGATTCGAACCCACGGCCCACGACTGTGACCGGGGAACGCTACCTCTGGACCACCAGGATACTAAAAGCAGTCCTAGACTCTGTTATATTTCACACAAATCCTGTTCAACGAGCTTATGGCGCCGTGAACCTCTAATGGGGACTACCCGTATCACTTAGGTGGTCAGAGTAACGTTTTACCAAATCCGGCTTCGAAACACGACCACCTCTGCGATACGGGTAGTCCCCATTAGAGGTTCACGGCGCCATAAGCTCGTTGAACGGGCTTTGTGTGAAATATAACAGTCTAGGACTGCTTTTAGTATCCTGGTGGTCCAGAGGTAGCGTTCCCCGGTCACAGTCGTGAGCCGTGGGTTTGAATCCTGGCGGGGTGAGGTGTTGATTATATGTAGAAGTCCGCGTGCTTTATTGGGCTAATGAAGTATATATATACACACACACACTTTGTAAGCATATGGTTTTTCTCATTCATTTTTTGCTTTGTGCAGCAGGGTTGCCAGAAATGAGCAAAGATGCACTCAAAATTTTCCATCTTACATTAGTATGTTCAATTTTATTGTTGTTAAAGATGTTCTGCTGTTACAGCCCTCTCACAACAAGGTGCCCAAATCTTGTATTCCCCAGTTGTTTCAGACAAGCCAGCATCCACCCCCCCCCCCCCCATCATTAGCACCACCTTCCTCCCCAAATCCCTCAAAAACATGCTTTTCATACAGTCATGCTTACTGTAGCTATGTGGATGTCCATTTTCCTCACTTTTAGGGCATCCATCACCTCATCCTTATTTTCCACCAGGTCTTCCCTTCCTACCATCCACCTTAGAATTATATTGTACACCTTTTCCAAATACAGTACAGTATGTAATTCATGTTCATTCTCTGATTCGGTTTCTCCCCATACAGATAGATACTGTACCAGGTGATTACAAATGATTTTCCTGTTTTTAAGTAGTTACAGGTGGCATTATGAAAAAATTAACGAAGCTTTTTTTTTCTGGGGGTTATGTCAGAAATAAAGTTTTTGTTCTGCCAGTGACAGCAACTTTGGAAATTTGAAGGAAGGGATGTGGAAGGTTGTTGGAACAGTTTAGTATGATGTGGTACAAGCTGTATGGAGTGAAAAGCCACAAAAGGAGCTCATATTAAGTTTCTATAACTTGAAAATAAGGTTTTTGAGTTCTTCTTTACATGTACTTGTATCTCTTGCTTTTTGTTGTAGCTTTGTTTTTTTTTTTTCTCATGTTAAATGTTTCAAATTGGGGAGATCGTTTGTAATCACCAGATTTATATGTATTCATTATAAACATTGTTTTATAAGGCCTATAAACTGGTTAGTCAGCCATCGGGGTTTTCTTATTGACACTTTTAGGTTTACAGGTCTCCTAGCATCCTCTCATCTAATGTTTGCAGAATTTTATAAGCTTTTATATTCTTTAAAAAATATATTAGAGTATTTTGGAAGCGAAGATTATTTAATCTGGTGATTTAGGGTTGTTAGATATTATTAGTTTAGAAGTTTACAAATGTAAACTTGCTAACAGTATTCATACTTTTTTAACTCCTTATTTGAGTTACATATTGAATTGTAATCATATCAACAGTTAGTTAAGATTGGAATGAGTTTGTCAGAGGTTTTGTAGGTAGCACCTTGCCAGCCTGATGTATGGCTGGTATGTAGGCTGGTAATGGGGTGTCTGATGTGCTGATGTGGTTGGTTCCACAGGTGACAGCAACATGGCACACTCAGAGCAGAACAGGACGTTGTACGTGGGCAACCTGGACAGCACAGTCACCGAGGACCTCATCATGATGCTGTTTGGCCAGCTGGGTGAGGTTCGCAGCTGCAAGATGTTCCGCGAGCCCACCACTGACCCTTATTGCTTTGTAGAGTTTTGTGATCATATGACTGCACTTAATGCCATTACTATGATGAATGACAAGATGCTTCAGAGTCGAAAAATGCGTGTTGATTGGGCAACTGGACAGGGCAATAAAAACAAATACACCAAAGTAGATACCAGTAGGCACCATCATGTATATGTTGGAGATCTTAGTCCTGAAATAGATGAACAGGCCCTCAGGGAGGCTTTTCAGGTATTTGGTGAGATATCTGACTGCAAGGTAGTTAAGGATCCACAGAGTTTCAAGTCCCGAGGGTATGGTTTTGTTGTGTTTGTAAAGAAGATGGATGCAGAGACAAGTATCAGTGCAATGAATGGTCAGTGGCTTGGCCGAAAGATGATCAAAACCCGCTGGGCTACCCGCAAACCTGCAAACACTCCAAACGACAACAAACCTGAGCAGAAGAAACTGATTTATGAAGAAGTGTATAACCAGACAACCCCTACCAACACGACAGTGTTTTGCGGAGGTCTCAAACAAGACATATCAGAGGAGATGCTGCACAAGTCTTTCCAGCCTCATGGTCAAATTGAGAAAATAAAGATCTTCAAAGAGAAGGGGTATGCTTTTATAAAGTACACAAGTAAGGAGAGTGCATGTCAGGCAATTGTTGAGTTACACAATTCTAACTTAAATGGCCAGATTATAAGGTGCTCTTGGGGTAAAGATACAGGTGTTGACCAAGCTAACAATCCATCCCAAGATGCTAATGGAGCCCAGCCCAGCATGCCCAGTTATCCAAATGGTGGAGGCTACCCCAGTCAGATGGGGCAAATGGGATATTGGCAATATTATCCTCAGCAGATGTCCTACAACCAAATGCCCTATAACCAGTATGCATATGGCTACCAGCCCAACCCTGGCTATATGTGGATGGGTTGGGGCCAGCAAGGATGGAGTCAGCCTGGCCAACCAGGGCCTCCAGCACCCCAGCAGGGCCAGCCCCAACAGTGAGCAACTTTGTAATTGACTCTTAGACAAAAAATGGCTGCTGACACGCCTGATCCGTTGGGGCTACAGCCTCACCATGGGGACGAGCCAGCGTTGCTTCGTTTTCATCTTTGTAAGTGCAAAGACCTTCAGACCAATATAGACTGTATGTAAATAAGTGAAATACTTGCTAGAAGTTTAAGTATAGGGCTCTACTTAATTATCTCATGTCCATAAGCACTATCGTGTAGTATTAGAGGAAATCAGTGAAGTGTTCCTTTTGTAAGAGAAAGTAATTTTGTAAAGTTTTATATCAGGAATACAGTGAATTGTATTTTATACTGTTTTCTGGACTGACACAGTGAATAGCTTTCATGGCTAATTTCTATTAATGAACTGTTGTAAATACTGTTATCATTACAATTTTTTCATTTACTACTCATAGAAACTTTTATTTCAGTAGGTTTATAGGATCTTTTGTATAGGCCATGGAAGTGAATTCATAAATATTTATGTATTAATGATTCAGTAATATAGTGCAGATTTCAAATAATGATGAGCAGAATTTAAGGCATGTATGTGGAGTCCATGAATGAGTGAGAATGATTTTGAAAGATATGTCTGTGTTTGGCAATTACCCAACTAATTATTTCTTGCACTGGCTCATAAGTATTACTCTGTATAACCACATTCCAAAAAGAAACTGGTTAATTAGGATTTTTTTTCCTATAACCCTTTTAGTTAGTGAAATGGATATTATGTTTTATGCCTAGCATGAAGACTTTTGTACACAGTCCCATCCATGTACAGATATTCAGACATGAAAAATAAAGGAATGGTGTGAAAGTTAACTATCACGTTGTCATTACCTGCTTCTTCTTCTTTCCGACTAAACCAGTAATCTCTTTATGTTTCAGGCCTAAGCCAAGGAAGTTTTGATTCCACAATATGTATGGTATACATAGGAGAAGCTTGCTAAGTAAACTGGCTGACGCGTTCCTCTCTTGTTGCAGGGGGTGCTGTGTTGCCTTGTTGTGCTATTTTAGTGCAACACTGCAGGTCAGTGGGTCACTCGTTTGTACTTACTACTTGTTCTGGTTTTGTCTGTTCACAGTAGTTCAACTGCACATTATGGAACCCAAAAGTCTCAGTGGTACAGGAAGGACTTACAGGTTTTCCTATGCAGTGTGGGGTTTGTGCCACTGAGATTATCTAGAGGTTGGTGAGTGGGAGATCCACCCAAGTCATCCAGCTATTGCATGATGTATTCTGTGGACTTGTATCATCCTAATTTTTTGTCCGGCTTTGATCTTTGCCTCAGTTGGAGTTTTACAGGAATTTATATTACTCCCTGTATTAGAGTACTATAGCAGTATGTATTACTCTTGCTGAAATGTTTTACGGTGAATGCTGGCAGAAAGGAGATACATAGCAGAACCATTGTGGGGCAATACAGGTGGGACGAGCTAGACCTTCAGGTAATGCAGCCCACATTCAGTGTAGGGCAAATGTTCAACCCCCTGTATTGATGTGCATGTGTGGCTGGGTGGAGGGAATACTCACCAACTAGCTAGAGGGGAAAGGCTGCCCAGGTAAGCCTCACTACTGTTCCATCTCTTTGTTTTGTTTTGGAAGTACAAATGGGATCCTGCCCCTGCTTGGAGAGAGGTATGTTCAGTTGTGCCAGTTTACCCCACTGTTTTGTAGTTTGGTTTGATAGGGAAAAAAAGAAATGACTTGAAAATGGATTCTCTGAACTGGAAAAAAGGAAGTTTGTGTTTGTTATGTAATGACGCTATTGTAGCTTGAATACAGATTTGTTATTCAGAAATTTTATTAAAAACTCATACAAAAGTAGGTGGCTCAATGTCACAATTTTTCCAAGAGAAAAGCATCACTTGCACTTGTTTGGAAACATGGAAGATATAAATTATATACAGTATTTTAACATGTATTAGGTGAAGATACTGCCATATAGTGACATAAGTTATTAAAATTTCCATTGAAACTAGTAATATACAAGCCGTATCTGGGAGGCTTACACTTAAGCTCCTATGTGAACAAATAACAGGAAATTGGGGCACTTTTTGTGGGAAGTAAGTTACAAGGGAAGGTTGTGGAGTTGCACATTATGGTTTTGCTGCTATTAGCTTTCATGTTGCTACTGTTAGCCCCCATTATTACCTTGCTTCTGCTATCCAGAATTAGCTCATGTTATTCATTTTCATTATGAGTTCTTTCCCTTTACAAATATTTTAATTTAGACAAATACCTGATTGAACATTATTTTTTGTCTATTTAACTCCCACTCATGCATTTGTTATTCTCTTACTAACAAAAAATGCATTTTAACTTCTTTCATTTTGTTTTTCTCTGCTTTCCCTATAGTCTATCATTTCATCCTTCAACCCCTTCTGCTGCCATGTGTTTTAATAATTTTGCATGCTTTCATTTTTGTCTCCCAGAACAAGTCTCATGTCTCATTCCTTGCCTTCTTTACCAGTGTTGCAATAAGGATCCTTGTATCTTTGAAGGACTTTCACTGTGGATATGGGATTTGGTGTTCTGGAATCAATCATTAACATTTCACATGCCATGATCATCCTCTCCTCTCCTGGTAATCAAATTTTTCACACTTTACCCCATACCAAATTTTATCACTTCCCTTCATGCCAAACTTTGTCACATCTGTTTAACTTCCTTCTTGCTGTCCTTCCTTCTCATGCTCCTTGTATATACTACTATATTACCTTTACTCTCTCCATGTATACATTACAATACTTCCTCTTCTCCATTTTGGTATACAGTACATTGCAATGCTTCTTCATCTCCCCAGAATACCCTGCACTACTCCTGTCCTCCATGTATACAGTGATGTTTACCCTGCTATACTTCATCCTCTTGCTCCATGTATAAGCTGCTATACTTCCTCCACTCATCATTGCAGACATCCCTCTTCTTTCCATACCAAGTACTTCACCACCTCTTATGCCAAATACTCCACCTTCCTCCATGCCAGCCTTTGTCTACCACTCCTTCATCGGAAAAACTCTCTCTTCTTCTGTAAAGCTTAGCTGCTTTTGCCTTCTTATCAGGGTTCCTCACCTCCACTTGTATCAAGCTTCCTGGCTGCTGTGTCAGCCTCTTCCCCATGAGACTGGCTCCTCTGTTTTTTTTTTTCTCTTTCTCAAAAATAGTAGAATCTCAAGATGGTTTGGCTTAGAGCCTTGGGTAAGACATAACGTCAGCCAAGGTGTGTTAAATATTTAATTGATTTTTGGGTAGCAAGTAGTGAATTGATACTGTACTTTTAACTATAGTTACAGTTTAATGGAAAGTAAGAACACTAGAATTGGTTTTCCATTCTTAGAGTACTTGAGATTTTACTGTATTGTTTTTAGAGTAGGGCAAAACTTCTGCAGCTAATTCAAGCTGAATTGTGGCCACTGAAGTGAGTTATTTGGTTATGTATAAAGGTACATATTTTGATGGCTGAATAGAAATATGAATAATATTTAAATTCAGAATGAGGGATGTTCTTTATTATACGAAAAAAAACACATTAGTTTACGCTTCAAAACATCTTTAAACAGTTGAATCTGGGAGAAGTACAGTAAGTTCTTTTACGTGTGATCTATTGAGGAGGGTGACATTGAGGACCAGCGTGGCTGACGGAAGAAGATTCGGCCATAACACACACATCACAAAGGCAAGAATCCAGTCTCTACAGTAAGTCACAATGAAGGTGCCATATGTAATTTTTCTGTACGAGTTGTTAGTTTGGTACATCTTGAACATCCAAAATTAAGTTAACCATACTGTATACAGGTATATATATATATATATTTTTTAATGCAGTTCATGTTTTGTTGTGGAATAGAATGTGTAAGATTATTTATATATATATATATATATATATATATATATATATATATATATATATATATATATATATATATATATATATATATATATATATATATATATATATATATATATATATATATATATATATGATAACCAGTTTCAATAAAAAACAGAAGATTGTGTTATCACACTTGAGCACTGCTTTCAAAATATCACAAACACCTATCAAATGACAGACTAGTGTATTGTGAGAGTGCCATCATGTGGATTATTATTGCTGTATTATCTTATCCGTTCTCTGTAAAGACATGCTTTTGCGTATTTTAATACAAAGTTTTGGTCTAAAGAGGGAAGAGAGTTGTAACTTAAATTCTGTGGGACAGTGCGAGACATTGCACACCCATTTGTTATGCCAACTGATAAATTTTTCTTAACTAAATTGTTAATGAACAAGAAATGTTGGGCATGATGTTTTCTCCCAAAAGCAAATGAAGCGTAGATGATGACCTGATGTAAGGTGTCTTGTCCTAACAGGTGAGAATGAGAAAGTGGGTGGGTAAATATTTGAGAGTTGTTGAAAGAGAGATAGATATGAAAAGATATTCTATGAACATTAGAGGGTGAAAGGTTGTAAGACAGGAGGGGTTTAGTACACAAAGAAAAATTAATGAAAGAAGGGATAATAGTGAGATGTGTGAACTAATACCTGTACTGTGATGTACAGTAGTTCATTTAGGGAGAGTACTGTAGTGTTAGTTGGAAATATATATTTTTCTCATGTTTGCAATGCAGGTTACCCTTGAAACCCATTATACTGTACTTGATAATTTTTCTGCTGCTTAATCCACTTTGCATTATAATCTCTCATCATTTTTGTCTATATGTTAGAGAAAACAACCTGACAAAAAAGATCAGTTCAGTTCTCTCTCCATATCTTAAAGAAAATCTGCTACTGTTTACTCCCTCAAACTAATGTATAAATATTCATATAAACCTTACTTCTGAACATGATTTAATGTCTATTAGCTACGTCAACAACAGATACGTGAGCTCAAACAACTTTACTGGTACTGTACAGTACAGGTACACTGTATATGCATGGTTTAGATAACTTAAAGGAATCTTGCCCTCATAGTGTTTGTGTGTGTGTGTATAGATATACAGTATATATAGATGTGTGTGTGTGTCATGCTAAAAGAGTGCAGTTGTCTAATTTTAAGCCTAAACATTTTAAAAGACAACTTATAATTTTTCTAAATAGGGATAAGTTTTTGTTGTTGCTATACATTAAGGAAATTCGTTCACGTGGTAAAATTTGCTCTTTTATTTAAGGTTTCGTCTACTGTTATAACATAACTGAACTACACCAAAATTAGGTTAGTAATGGCTCTTTTCATTTATTGTTTGTATCATGATAATCTACAGCATTGTTGCAATATACAGACTAGTTTGAACTTTAAAAAAAATATGTTGAAATTGTCACTCGGTTAACAGTATTTTCCATGGTATAAAAGTACAGTATATATTTAACTTTAAAGGTCTTTTCTTAATAATTGCAACAGTAGCTGGAATTAGGTAAATTCTCTATTACATACTGCTTTCATTTGTCATTCAGCCATTCTCAATGCTGTAGTAGATAGGTTCTGCTATGATACTCTCCTTCCACAACATGGCTACAAATCTTGTTTACCAGTTACTAACTTGACACTCTCTAGCAACAAAAATTTTTGTGTGTTATAGGTTTGGGGCCTTGTGGAAGGGAAATATCATAGTACAGTAGAATATATCTTTTACAACAGTAAGACTGAAGAAATGAAAGTAGTTTGGGGGTAAAGGTGTATGCATATATACAGTACTCTTATGTGTGTGTGTGTGCGCATGTAAGATTAGGTTTCCATTCTACAATATGTATCTAACGTGATGATTGGCTTACTGCAAAGGAAAAGGAAGGCAAGTGTCACAACTGAATGACTGTTGTTATTATAAAATAGGGTGTGTATACAGTACATCCCCTATCTCTGGTTCAGAGCATACCTAAAGGAACTCGGCAGGAACACAGTCTTGTTCACAGGAGTATCTTGGGGGGGCAAATACCTCTATATCTCTTACATGTTCCTGTTCACAAGAAGTTATTGGGCTCTTGTCTAAATTTCTAAAATCATCTTGGTCGAAGAAGAATGAAGTGTGTGTGCCATCATGTATCAGTTTACTGCTGGATCAAAACCTTCATATAGTGTACTTCAATTATCTTTAACCTTCAAACTTCCTTGACTATTCAGTATCTTAAAATGTCCTATTTCCATCTTTCCATTTGGTAACTAGTTTGATTTTTAGGTCTTTTTACTAGGGATACATTCAAGGTCATTTTGGTCCATTGTTAATAGCTTTCTTTTACTTTGTCTTGCTCATTGGAATATTCTTTATTCTTATTTTATTATTTTTTTTTGGGGGGGGGGGTACTTATTATGCCAGGCAAACACCCTTCACTGTTTCTTTGGCAGGTTACAATTTGCTACTTTTTGCTTCCATAAGTCAGTACTGGTTGCATGCTTTGATTAATTACTTTCAATTTTGAGAAGGTGGCTTGATGCTTTTGAATTTGTTCCAAGCTCTCAAAGGGATCCAAGTCTATTTTGCCTTGTCTCTTAATAATTGTTAACTGATTTTTTCGCACATACTTGTGTTTGGTAATGTCTTTTTCAACAGTTTTGTATATTCAGTTTCCCCCCTTAAGTTAAGTTTTTGATCTCTATTGGCTTATTATTCTCATAGGTTCAGATTTTGTCAAGTTCATTTCCAGTCTAATTATTTTTGTTTCATTCATCTCTTGTATTTTTGGGAAAAATATGATACAGAATGAAGGTGGCTAAAATAGATGCCATTGATTTGCAAACTTATGTCACCCAAGTTGAGTGGTTTACGTTTAGTGTAAACTTCCTCAAATACTGCTGTAATGAGTTTCGGAGATATGGTGAGACCTTGGTGTGCTCTTTGAATTTTCTCTTGCTTGCTCTCTGTAACTTGATTGAAGAGAATACATAGCATTCTTATTTATGTCCAATGTTGGGTTTATTATAAGGGCAGACTGCCTCCTCCCATGAAAAAAAATACAGTAAAGCAAAGTTTTGAACTTAGGACACAGTACAGTATAAAGTTGTTTAAAACTTACTTTAAGAAATAAACACTTCCCCAAAACTAATCCTGTGTGTGAGAGAGGTATACCGTAGTCCAAAGATGCTCTTAATTGTTGATGGGAAAATACTCTTGAAGCATTTTATACATCACGATGACTATAAAACTATCACCTGGCCAATTCTTTTGGGGGGGGGGGGTAATCCTGTTAAAAAGAAAAGGGGGAGCTATTGATGTGAAAAAATAAATGAGTAAAACTTATTGTTTATTGAATTCTGCTTCATCCTGGCTGATCAGAAACAAAGTACTGTAAATGGATATTCACTTTATATACTGCTATGGCACTTCCCTTCTACAACAAGTCCCCAGTCTGGAATTAGCAGTACAATTCCACCCCCATTTACGTATATTATTATTCACCAAACTTGTAGTTCTTTCTATCTATTACTGCCTTATATGAATGTATTAAAGAAGCTTGGTAACTTTGCACAGCATTGACTTAATCTTACTTTCACCGGAGAGACAAAATATGGCATGAAAATAATACTGGTTAGCAAATACAGAATAGGGGAATGTGAATGTAAAAGAAATTATTAAAAAATATATCAGGGTTTGCTCTGGTGGTATGGATAAATTGAGAGAATAGGAAGTGAAAGATTCATTATAAGAGTATTATTTACAAAGTGGATGATAGGAGACAGGAGGAGGCAATAAAAGGACGCACTAGAAGTGAAGAGGATGGATATCCAGGAAGCAGCTCTTGATACCAACCACTAACATTATAGTGGGTAGAAGCAAGGATATAGTTGGTGAGTAGTGTGAGAGAAATTAAGGATGCTTAAAGTTCACCTGGAACAGGGATAGACTAAAGGCAACAGAACCAGTGTAGGGACCATACCCAAGAATTCAAGGAGAATGGGTGTTGAGTGTGATAGACAAAGTGAAGAATGGAAAAGCTGCTGTTTGCTCTGGAATAGTTGAAGAATGTTGAAAGCATCAGGTGATGATGACTGAGTCAACTAATACAGTTATGATGGAATGTACTGTATTGCTCCATCTAATTGGTTGAAAGGCATGTTTATGAATACTTAAAAGGGTAAAGGTGGTGCTTTGGAATTTCGAAGCTACAGGGACATGAATTTATCTGGCTCATATATTTCAACTTAGGCTAAGTTCTGTACTCGAGGTTTTTTGGTGGCAATATCTTCTGGCCTGTTCTCTGCTAACATTGGATTTCTCTCTTCTTTTAGTATACTAAGCCTCTCTGGAGGATGAGTTAAATCTGTTGCTAAGTTCTTAGGGCAGACAACTATGACAACACCTAGCCCATTGAGAGCAGCTGTTGCACCAAAGTCTTTTTCTCTGAAGGAACAGTTGACTGGAGAGAAAGGGGTGATTGGTTTATCTAAATGGGTTACTAGAAACCACTATTATGTTGTCCGTACAGTATTATGAAAAACTGCTTGGTCATGTTTTGTGCCGGAAGAGGGATTTCAAGATCATTCCTCCATTTATGATGGAACCAGAAGCTACTGTAGGTAGCTCAGACTCTGAAGACTGACTGGAACTAAAGGTGGCTTAGGTAATCTAATAGAGGGAGCCCCAAACCAATAGCCAATTGGAGTGTAGCCAGGTGAAACCTTGTGCTGTATATAGAACTCCTGCTTCAGTGGTAAACATAGACAGTTATTTCTTACTTCTTTGAGGGGAAACTGCTGTCGTTGGAAGGGATTAAGTAATCATTTAATTGGCTGACGAGAAGTTGTAAGATTTATTGCCAAGCCACCAATACCAGAGTATCCTGAGGTAAAATCCAGTGGATTTGGTGAGCTATAAATTGCATGAGTTTCATGGCTTTAGGTTCATGGAGAAATAGGATTTCAAAGTCAGTCCACCTTTTTTCTTGCAAAAAGTAACTATGTACTCATCAAGTTAGATACATAATTTTCTCTGAAAATCAAAATTTTCTCTTGTGTAGAATAAATATATTTTATTCAAGTACATTACAATGTTATGCACATTAACAGAGTATCTTCACTAAGCATTACTAAATTATATACGTAGTCTGAAAGTTTAGCTTAAAGTGGGCAATTGCAACTTTTGGAACAAGCTCTTCTTTATAAGCTGTTACTTTTAAATGGGCACCATAATTTAGTTTTCAGATGAGCTTGGTAATATCAAAATCACAGGACATGAAACAGTAATACTGTATACAAGTACAGTAATTAAGGTTAGATGGGTTGTGAATCATGTTGCACAAATCAAGTGATGCCACTCACCTGGTCTCAGATCCCAGGATTTGTATTTCTCTAATTTGCTTGGGTAGACTTTGTTGTGTTTAAACTTTTTCAGTTTCATGCTCATCACTCACTCCTTGGTTCATTTACCCCTCTTTTATTTACTTTGTACAACCACAGGCCTCTGCTATTATATTGGCATGTGTTGAATATGTACCTGTTCATTACACATTGTATGTAACATCACCTATATTCTTCATTAATCACCTATTTACCCATTATGCTATATATCCCATACTTACAGTATCTAAGATTACTTTCTGTGGCTTGTGCTGTACAGTTTGCCACAGCACATGAAATTATTCTTATTTTTCTTCATTATCAAGTGTTAAATATTAAATACAGTGGTCATGTAATATATGATTGCATGCTACGGTCCGAAGAGTACAGTATGCAGTTTCCAAAAGCTTTGTACTTGACTGTGAAATTAAATTTAAAACACACATCTATGTTTTTGGTATTAGCCTACATTATTATCGTGAACATGTAAATGCTGTCAAGATTCTACTAAAGTAATAGCTCTTAATTGACATGTGGTTGTTAGATTGTGGGCCAAGTAATGATAAGCAAATGGTAAGAATTTTGTTTACACTCTCAACAAAAACTTCTTGAACACCTGGGCACGATGGATGTGAGAATGAGCAGGATGGGGCTTGTCATCTCGGAATAGTTTGATTCTTCGTTCATTTTTCAGATTGCAAAGTGCTTATAGCGTTCGAGAAGTTTTTGGTGAGTGTACATGTAATTAATATATATATAAAAGTTATACCCAAATGCTAATAGAAAAAAGAACCTATGATTGAAATTGTTTAAACTTTTCTTGTCTCGAAGTGTTGAAATTAAACTGGAATAGCAACATTTTATTTGTAAATAAGAAATTCATTGAATGATTAGCTATGATCTGAGGCACTTTTTCTATTATTAAATGTTCTGGTTTGTTATTATCTTTATACTGGCTAATTTAAGTAATTTTGGTATTTTAGGCTACTGCTTCCTTCCACTGAGCTAATTATTGGAATTAGCTGTGAAGGTTACTTCTGAGTAAGCAGTAGTTGACTTTTGCCTGTATTATGCTTATTATGGTAAGTAGACTGGCCTGTTATGCGTAGTAGGCAAGGTCAAATTTGTGTGCTTGTATGAAGATATACTAGAAGGGGGGCATACATTGGATAGCCTTGTGCTTACAACATGATATTGAAAATGAATATGCTGATGAAGCCCCTTCAGACAATACAGTAGTTGTAACTGATTAAATCTACTGTACAGGAAAAAGCACTACTATTCCATTTAGTGCTTAGTATAGAACTTATACCGGGTAACCTTTTGTATAATTATGCCTGTATGTACCTTCTCTATAGACTTATTTTTTTCTTTAATCTTGATCAAGTTTAGGGCATAACTAAAGATCAGCAAGAAGACTTGCTTTAATATTGTCGGTGCATGGGGAAGAAAGTGTCAAATTAAAGTTGTGAGCCACATGAAGGTGATGGGCAGTGTTAAGCCTTCACATTTGAAAACATCTAGATAAAACTAACAAAATATGGCATTAATTGGGAGGACTTTTGGAGAATCAGAAATAGATGCAATCTACATCAGATCTATTTTTTGGTGAATTTTTGTGTGTTCTGTTAAGGTGAGAGAGAGCCAAGGCTTTATTTTTACATTTTTCATCATTGTTGTCAAATCATTAAAATTTTTGAGAAGGGCAGCTGGTCTTTTGACAATTTGTTCTTTTTATCTATTATTGCTATGTTGGTGTTTTCAATAAGCAAGTTTCAGCAGGCTTTGCTGGAAATATGGTTTAACAAAATATTGATGAGCAGTAAGAATGAGGCCATAAAACAGCTTTCATGTGTGCATGTATGGAAGAAGAAAAAAAGGTTTTTGGATGATGTTTAAATTGGTCATCCTGAAAAGATACTTCTTCAGATATTGCCTGTGGCAATTAGAACATTACATATAGTGTATGTATACTGTAAGGTATGAGATGTGTAGTACTTTCTGCATGATACTTCCTGTTAACAATAATAGAGAATTTCATTCCTCAACTTTAAGTTCTTAGTTATTAAAAAGCACAGCACCTTATATAAAAAAAACTTCCCTCGATTGTACAGGGTATACATTTATGAGACAGGTAAGTACAGTAAAGACAATCCTTAATTCAGAGCACACCACTTAATGCAAGACCTGAATTAGGCAGACCTGTAAATCTTCTCCCTCAGTAAAGGTACAGCCTTTCCAGGTCAATGTCTTAACAAAACATGTATATAGGAAAGAGTTCGTGAGTTAATTTCCAAGGATTATATTTATAACCACCATTGATAAGCTGGGAGAAAGTAAACTAAAAAAATTCCTGTCTCATTCCACATGGACACAACATATAATAATGTGCGCTTAAAAATTACGGTTAATCTCGTGGTGAAAGTTTGATTTATCACAGGAATTTTGGTTGACCAATATCTGTGACCACATCCTAGTCTTTGTTTAAATGAATTTCATAGATAAAACTTTTCAGTGATACGGCTGATTTCCGAAAGTTGACTCCATGTAAACGCAGACACAAGAAATCTGGTTCTCCTGTTGAGGCATCGTATAGTAGTTGGCAACTGCAAGATTAACAAGGTTGTTATAGATAAGAACAAAGCTGAACATGGTGGCAAAAGACCATATGTCTTATACAGTATGCTGTACAGGTAAAAAAAAAAAAGTAATTTAACAGACTCCAAGCAGTAAAGCATTTGCAACTTACCAAAATACAGATCTTGTCTGTTCCTGAATCTGAGGAAATTTTCAAGTTTTCACAAATAGAGGCCCCGTTAATTTTATTTTTAAATTTGTATCTAAAATTCAAAGGGTTTGCTTTAAAACCCAAACTGGGATTGCTTATATACAGGGTACCTTGGCTTAATTACTGATGGCTGATTCCTGCATTTCCTAGGTTAATTATTGTTGATTCCTGGTTTAGAGTAAGAGGAAAATTTAATTCAGGACACCTTAAAAATTCTTGGGATATAACGAAATCCAATAATGAGTAAGTTCATAATATAACTGTTGTCATATTCGGTTTATCACCTACAGCTGTGATCTTTAATGTAGGTTTTGAATTTGAAATTCTGAACCCCATTTTGTCATGCATTTCTGAATTTAAAATATATATACAGTATATATTATGATTTTGTTATGCTGTGGACAAAGCTTTAGCCTTTGTCCTTCAGCTGTGACCTTTACCTTTGCATATAAATACTGTACAAGGTTTATGGATTCCTACCCAGATGGATAAACTGATTCACATTTTAATGTGTCCATTTTCATCAGATGTACTGTATAAAAAGTTTAAGGCTGACTGTAGTTTTGGGACATTTTGGATCTGTATAAGCCCCACCAACATTTTCTTGTATGGACTTGTGGTTGGTTTCTGATTGCAACCACAACTCAAGAGATCTGCCAATTTGCAGCACTTTCACTGCTTATGTTTTACTGCCTTACAATATCACACTACTCAGGCAAGCTGCATGCATATTTCCTTTCACATGAAGAAAAGGTCTTCTTGCTGTCATTAAAGGCAACAGCTCCTTAAACTTCTTACAACCACTTCTGACTCTAGCAACTAAGCTAGCATCAGCACCACCTCCAGCACTGACCATGTCACCCAGGTACCAAAATGCATCGATGCAGTCCAGGGATATATCCCCAATGTTGAGTTTCTCCAGTCTTGCTAAGATCACATGCATACCTACACATACAGAGCACTTAATGGCAGTAATATATCGCAGTTTGCCACTATACCCTTGCACCTCTTGTGTACCCATCTTTCATACTCGCTGCGCATTATTAATTTGTTACCAACAGTTACTTTTAATAAGAAACAAGACTTAATAATGTCTGATGCATGTAAACAATATCTTCTTTGAGAATACTGTATCCATGGTTTTTATTGTGCATTTTCTTCTCATTTAAATGTTTTTTTTAAAACATGTCTAGAGTATGGTGAATTTTAATAAAGTGTTGTTAGAGAGCCAAGGAAGTGAAGGAGCTTCCCTGTCCCTGGTTTGGCAGTATTTGGTGGCTTTGGGTTTAGTTTGTGAAACTGCCACTTGGTTAGCTGTCCAGTGCAGTGCCACTGTAGCCCATGATAATTAACAACATTGTTTACAATTGCCACAGCTCACTTGTAGTGGTTGTTGTTTCTATTTTGATCTACTTAACTACAGGGTACTTGCTTCTGTGTCACAGTAGAGTAAAATTGTCCCAGAATACTAACACTATGTTATGCTGTAATGTGGTCCAGTAAGGTGTATGCTTACGTAATTTGTATTGGTACAATATACACTTACTATCATTATTATTATATATTTTTTTTAAGCTTTGATGGTTCAGAATTTTCAATAGTCTGACAACGGGTTTGTACCAAGTTCGCCAGACTAGTGAGGTTTGATCAGTAGTATGTTAAACATGAGTCTGAGCAGCAAGGTAGGCACTGTATGTGTTGTTTTTGTTGCCTCTCCATTGTCTATGAGAGACTTGTATGAGTTTATTTGCCCTTTGGCAGGAAAAATTGCGTCAGGTAGGGACACCAGAATTTCTTTGTGAGGAGGGAGTCAAAGCTAGAAAGAGTTCCATGCAAAGGTGAGTAATTTGTGAAATTAAGTACCATTAACAGAAGTTGATGGGTCTATATTATTATAGTTGTAGCAGGGAAGGGGAGGACCTAACCCCTCACTATAGGAACACCACTTTATATTTTCTTTGGTCCTTGCCAAACAATTTTATTCAGCACAGAGAGACTCCCATTCACAGGGGGCTAAGAGAGGAGGTGAAAAAGCAAAATATAGAAACCCGAGTTAATAGAAGCTGTTGAAGAAGACACAGGACACAGCAGTAGTACCAAATAATGGATGGGTTGTGAACAACGTCTTGAAAATTTTGGTTTGATAGTTTAAAAATATTGATGTCAAATGGAATTGCAAACAGGAAATTTAAGGTGAGTGTTTAGACTATGGGAGGACTAAATTTAATGGTAAGAGATCTCTTAATAAAAATTTTAAAATGTGAGAAATAGTATGAAGGCAAAATTTGATTGTTGGGTTTTTGAAATCCATGCAAAACAAATACTGTAGTAAGTAATAAGTTTTTCTTTTCTCTGAATATTTGTGTTGCTGTATTTTGTCATGTGTCCAAAATCTCTGTTTCGTTAATGTTTATATAATGAAATGAAATATGAATAAGACTAGCTGCCTTAATAAATTGTAAATTAAACTAGAAATCTGAAGATCACTAATTTGGGGAAAGAAAACAACATTACAACACTATGGTAATGTATTTTTCTATAATAATTTATGAGAAAAAAACATTTTTGGATGCAGGGTTGTGTAAGGCCCACCCCCATAATGACATTGACTGATGGAAGGTTTTCAATAACTGAACTTCTTTTTATCACAGGTTATGTCCATAAGTGAACAATATATGAATGTTTGGCCAAGAGTATAAACGAGATTGTAAGTGAGGAGAGGAAGGAGACCTTCAGCAGAGTTGACTGGACGAAACTGGTCCTGTATCAGAGATTTATTTGTGCTTTTCAAGGTGACTGCAGTTGTTTGTTATAGTTTTCATGGTATTAGAGGTGACAAATATGAGGGTTATAGGACTACTTGGATGATAAATGAAAGATTTCCCTTTTTGTAAACTGGTACTGTCCCCCCCCCCTAAAAAAAAAGTATCGTTAGATTTCCCGTCACTACAATTTGAAATGCTTTGATATAATCCCCAGTGCATCATCATAAGTTGGTACTCCTGCTAGCCATATCAGCGACAGCTAGAGATTGGTTTAGGATTGGCGAAGGAGTCGTCCTTATGGCATACTATTTACTGTACTTTAATATAACAAGAAATCCATTAAGATATATTAATGTATGTATCATTCAAAAACGTATACAATACAGTACTGTAGTATGGTGAATGGTGCAGGAGAGGAAGCAGTGGGAATGTAGAAAAGATAATACAATGGTGGGAATTCTAGGGATGGAATGTTTTGAAAAGATTGTCACTTGATAATGACAAAAAGAGGGAAAATGCCGTTGGGGCTGTAGAAGGGAAACTAACATTCAGGAATAAGTATTATACAATACAGTATCTGGGAAAGGGGTAAACAATGGATTGATCCAGGTTCCTCCATTTATAAGAGAGTTGGTCCATGGAGACCCGTGAACTGTATTGTACAGTATGCCATTAACTACTGGTTTCAGCCCAGGCTTGAATCATCGACACTGGTAGTACAGTATATGCTGTACTGTATTGAAATTATTACATTAGTTGACTAGAAGTTAGAAATTTTTAAAATTTCCTTTTGATATTTTTGAAGTGTTATCACAATTCTTTTTAAGTCCAGGTACATAATTGAGTTAAATATATTTATAGGATTTGTTTATTTTTGTCCTGTGCAGAGAGCTGTTTCTTAAGAGGTGTGAACTTGCACATGAGAGCAACCAGAATGATCAGTAACAACCCAGAATATTGGACTATTGTAGATGTTGGGATCTGGCTTGAAGGTCAAGGCTTTGCACAATACAAAGCAGCCTTTACTCATCACAAGATAACTGGGGAGGTGCTTCTGTTACTGAATGAGAAGGATCTCAAAGAAGATTTAAGAATCACAGTGAGTTTAAACATGTCTTTTTTTTTATATCAGCAACAGCAATTATGTTAAAAGAGAGTGTATTGTAAGTCTATAAATTACACTGGAATGTATAGAAGGTTATTTTGAGATGAGTGAGATACTGGAGGTTTGTATTATAGATATGGGCCACATATCTGTGTGTAAAGTGGAGCTTTATCAGTGTTACATATACTAAAGTTTTATTAAATCAAGATTTTTTTGAAGATACAGTATACATAACCCATTTCTATCTTTTCTTCCCCTCATTTCTTTCCCATAATACTTATTCTCTTTCTCATTTCTCTCTCTCTATCACTATTGATTTTAAAAAGGGTGCTCCAGAGAAAACAATGCTTTTATTCAGATCCTTGGAGATTTGAAGAGATTGCATTCATCCATAAGAAGATTGCACCAAATTCATAGTCCACCAGATCCACTAAATTCTTCAAAAAGTGTGCCCACAGCTGCTAGTTCCCCATTGTTCTCCAACCACAATCAACACAACCTTCAGCCTCCATCACCACATGTACAAAATGCCTCTTCTTCGCAAACTCGACCCAGGTGAGCATTTTACAGCAAGTATTAACTTCTCTTGAGACTTTCACTGTGTATTGCTTATAATTTACTTTGAAAGGGAGGACAGTACAGTATACTGTGTATGTTTATTTAAATTGTTATGGCCTATGGTTCCCACTAAGAACCAATGAGATTTCAGCTTGTTGAGGACTCCTCAAATTCAAGGCAGAGTTTGCCAGTGTCGTGAGGCACAATAGATCTGTAGCAAATGTATTACTGTATTTTAGTGAGTAACACTTTTACTGTTAATGCAGATCTTCATACAGTATTCCTAAACTCTATTTAGGTATCCAGTGGTTGATCACTTGACCAGGAAAAAGTTTTAGTTGATGCCCTCTGGCAAGTAGCTCTTGTTACTCTGGCCGCCTCGCATGGGGGATCCATCATGGCTGACTCACCTTAGTAGCTAGGGGTTGGTTTTATAATTACTCATCCCCCACACCCCTGTCACATCCATTACATTCACGAAGCAGAAGTTCTAATCAGAGCATGTGTCCACCCAGTTAGTGCACACACCTGTCCAGCTATGTCCTCCATGATTCTAGGACTGCTCCACCTTCTTGGATTCTTTCAGTTCCTAACCGACAAGTACCTTGAGCAGTCACTTCCTGTTCTGTTTTCACCAGCTCTGTTTGACGAGTGATAAAATTTAAATGTGTCCCATATTGATACTTCACTTGTAGGCTTTATCATTAAGGTAAGATAGGTATTTTGTTGTACTTGTACACTCTTGCTTCATAAAATTTTGGTGATTTCTTCAGAAATAATTAAATATTTATCTGACCAAGTGTTGGAAACGGTTAGAAATATTTTGACTGCAGAAAATAAGGTAAAATATAAATTTAAAGTAATTTTGCTGTTCCTGTGTTCATTTGCATCTTTGTATTTAATGAAATTCTTTAAAAACTGATACAATACAGTGTTAAGACTTATATTGTCAAAATAAAGACATAAACCTTCAATTGCAGGTGGTTTAGTGTTTATGATATACTGTAGATAACATGGAACTCTGAATTGCTTACAGATATAATGGACAGTTACATAGAAAATTTATCTAGAGAGATCAGTTAAAGTCATAACCTTAGCTGCAGGTGTTATGATATTGGTGTTCAAAATAAAAGTAGATTATAAAATGTATTGGTATTTGGAGTTATTATTTATTTATTTATTTAGCCATGTGTATTAAAAAGACCTTCTTATTTTACCGGTGTTGATTATTATTTTCTTTGTGTGTGATAATATAGTAATGGGATCTTTATTTCCAGAACCTACTCATCAGATTCTCAAGCCTCAGATCTTCCAGAACTTCAGAAATTTGCTGATTTGCGGCGATCCAGTGGTGTGGCAACCCAGCTACGACCTGAATATGTGAAAACTGTCATCTCATGCCTCTATATGTTTCTTGTTACGTGGATCACAGCCATTGTGATGGTGTTTGTACATGATCGTGTTCCTGACAGGGTAAGGATTGAGCAGTTGGTTGGGGTTGGACATTAGCTTGTATGTAATTTAAATTGTAAAGATATTTAATTACGGAAGAGAAGTACAGTAAACCCGTGTTTTTCGCGGGAATTACGTTCCTGAAACCCCTGTGAAAAGCCAAAACCACGAATACTCTTTTCGGATTCACTGTACCTGTGGCCACCAAACATCTCAGGTAGGTCATGCACTTAACCACGCCATGCTCTCCACTCACGGCCTAGTGGTCACACTGATCACTGATGCACTGTATCGGCATTTACTAACATCATTTTTGAAACTAATCATATTGTAGTACTGTATAATTATGGAAAAACGTAAACACAGTTATATACAAAAAATTTATATGTACAAGTAAATAAAATTTTTTATATTTCGCTGAGGTTGGCAACACCTTGCTGTCCCGGCGTCTGCCCGCCCTCACGCAGTCACGCCAGCCAGCCAGTCTTCTTCTACCCACATTCCTCCACTTGAAGACTTGTATTCTGACAAAAGACACAATTGAATTTGTCAGTCTTCACCACATCTCGAGCCATAGCTCATGCCACCTCTGAGCTTGTCCAATAAATCTGTTTTTTCCATTAAGGTCTTCACGATTCTTGATTTCTTGGTCACTAGTGTCTTTGCTAGTAATATTTGCCTTTGATGAGGCTGGCTTACTTCCCGGAGCCATGTGGAATGCACGTGGGAGGACAAACAGAAGAGGTAATCACAGTAGCGTTCACAGTACGGTAGGCACGTGTGGACTGAGGCTTCTACGAGCAGCGGGTGTCTGAGGCGGGAAAGGGTGGAGTCTGTTTGCTGCACCGCACTGCACGGGAATATTGAAAATGGCGCAAAATTTAAATTTTTGCTTTTAAAGAATATTTTATACAGTACAGTATATAATTGTTGGGTAAAAAAAACGTGAATGGTCAAAACCGCAATAAAAAAAACACGGGTTTACTGTAAATTATTTTTCAAGCATTGTACACACATCAAGTTTATTTTATGTAAAGTTAATTGTTGATTACAGATAGTAGGCCAGTTTGCATTGGTTGTACAAGAAAGCAGTACCATGGGTGAAGATATTCTCTTCCCTTACTCTGATAAGCCAGTAAATGCTTTGCATTCTTAAAATCAACAGTGATCATACATCTTAGCTTTTCATTGTACATTTGTTTCATATTTTCCAATTTTGTTTTGCTATTTTACCACCTTTGCTTTCTCTCTTTGTTTACTTGTCAAGATAATTTATGTACTTTGTAAGCAATTGACACCCTTTACATTTTTATAGCCTTCAGAATTCTTTTGAGACTGTTTTCTATGTTGCTGTTGGGTCTTGCATATTTAAAAACAAGATAGAAATACTGTAGTCATCAAGAACATTTTTTAAACAACAGAAAAAATTGGCAAGTTGGGTAAAGCAGGAATGCTATTACTTGTTAGTTTTTGTACAAGAAAAGCATCACTAATTGTGGGTTAATAATTTTTTTGCAATTTTTATCAAGAGTTTAGTACTGAATACAATACTGTATATGAAAATTTATATATGCACCATACATACTATGACTGCCAGTTGCTAATGGCTATTCAGGTACAGTAATGTATTATAACCAATTGTTACTCAGTGCCAGTGACTGCTGTACCTACATGTAGAGACAAGGGAAGATTAAGAAGACATGCATGTTTCATCTTAGTCCTGTGTCTTTATACTTATCATGAAGGTAGATTATAGTTTTCATATCTGCTATTGATTGCCATTTGCCATGGCACTCGCAAAACCCTTAACCCTCTCGTGGTCTTTCGATGGAAATTGCATCGCTAAGCGCTCCTGTATTGGTGCAACCCCTCCCGCTCAGCTGTATCTCACATTGAGAACACCACTCCTGTAAGCAGAAAGGGGGGAACTGTGGATCGGCCCTATCAAACACCTAAATTCCTTCCACTAGCCTTGCACGCTTGCTGGTGTGTCTCTTACGGTGATATTTGGGTCCGGATCACTACCCAATGTTTGCTATAATGGAAACACCTTTCCTATTACTGGCGCAATCTGCTTCTAAAGATTTCGAGGGGGTGAGATTGTAAATGAATTTGTGTCGAAGCATTGCGAATGGTTGAAATTTCCGACCTTGGCAGAGTACCATAGGGTTAATATTAATTTTTGATACTGAAATTTACTAAGACAGTTTCCTTTGTTGAAAATTAAAGATTACTTATCAGCACTGATTACATTTTCCAGGAGAGACATCCTCCTCTGCCAGATATCTTTCTGGACAATGTGCCACACATCCCTTGGGCATTCCAACTGTGTGAGATTACAATTCTTTTACTGACTTCCACGTGGCTCATGATCCTCTTTGTTCACAAACACAGGTAAGGATATTAGTGTCCTCTCAGTAAAACACAGTTTGCTAATACAGTGCACACTAAATGAATTTTGAACTGAACACTACAGTAATATATGTGGTTCTTCTTAAAACACTGTTGATGGATGGTGAAAAATTAAGTGAAATTTCTGATTAGAGTCTGTATTCTGTGCAGGCTTCTTTTTTTTTTCCTATTAAGAATGGAGGAATTTTATTCTGCTTGGTCTGGTTTAATTTGCAGTTGGCCTGAGAAAGCTATAACAAAAGAAGGTAAACCTTACAAATAAAAATATATATTCCATCATTCTGTTACTTTTGTGTTTCAGGTCTATAGCAATCAGACGATTTTGTGCATTGTCTGGGTCAGTGTTTCTGCTTCGATGTGCCACCATGTTCATTACAAGCCTCTCAGTGCCTGGCTCCCACCTGGAATGTGAACCCAGGGTCAGTAGTCTACCTTGAAAATAACATTATTATTATTATTGTTATTGCAGATATCAGGTTGTGTAAGAACTAGTATGGTGTATATGACACTAAATTTTGATTGTCTTGGAATACGTCGATGGGGAAGCACTGGATTGTTTACAGTGGAGAAGAATGTTATATGAATGTAAAACTAAAAGAGTGTATGGAGGAGGAGGTCGCATTGATGAATTAATTTCATGGGCAGTGTAAATAATTGTGAAGTATTTAAACTGGGTGTTTTGATTAACTTAGTTTCATTGATCACAAGGAAAGGATTAGCAGATTTATTGTAATGTGTTGGAAGAACTTGGTTGCCCTTTCCACTTCATTTGGTTGATAACGGAAAATGTTGATTAATAACTGATAAACTGTTTACTATGTACTGTATTAATTTTGTTATGATCTAAGTGTTAACATAAATTCATGCTCATAATATTTGCTGTGATTGGAATACAGTTGTATTGTGACTATTGCTGCATGACTTATTTAACTACTGGATACACATTTGTATATACATACTATACTAGTTTAATCGATATACTGTACTCCTCTAGAAATGTTTTGATATTTAATTGTCTTTATACTGTTTGTTGTCTTTTTAAATGCTTATAATACGTTATTATGCTTCAATTTTTTGTATTCATAGAAGTGCGGAACTGTACAGTGACTTGTTCCACTCTGTGTCTAAAGCAAAGTATCTGTATGTGTGTGTGTGTGTAACTGTGTATGCACACTTGTTTGTTTGTCTTTGTGTCTATTTGAAATCTTGGGCTACATTTTTGAAGGTAGAGAGCTGAAACTTGGCATGGAGATGCATATGCACCCCAGAAGTGTCCCAAAGATATGATTTTTGGCCCCCCTTTTCCATAAAAAAAAACACTTCTAAATTGACCATAGTGAAATGTGCAGGTACAGCCCCCTCTCAAAAGTTATACAGTAATGTAATTGTTGTACTGTAGATAGTGTAGATGAAAGTATAGTAGCTTTACTGTAAATGATTAAGTAGTGGATGAATTATTGATGATTGTGTAGCTATGAATTTAGACTATGAGCTGCCCCTCTACCTAAACCAGCATGCTGGGTATCCCAGCTAGTGTCTGTCAAAGATAAAGACAGATGGATTTAAAATGATGGAAGAAACTTTTTGCAGGACCCAAGTGACCTACAAACTCAGTTGGAGCAGGCGTGGATAATCTGGCAGGGGGGAGGACTGAGCATTAAGGGGGTTCGCACCTGCGGGGACTACATGTTCAGTGGCCACACCACTGCCCTTACATTGCTCAACTTCTTCATTACAGAATGTATGTGTGCTTGGCTATTTGTAATAGTGTATGGCATTTGTAATTCATAATGTTGTAGGACCCACTTTATTACCGGATATTAATTATTTTTTATTTTATTTTTTTAAACAAACCAAGCAAGAGTGATAAGATCACATGCTGGTTCAGTTGGTTGAAGTTGCAAGCAGGGTCAGACAAAGGAATATTTTATCACTGCTTCTTTTTATTCTTTTAATGGATTAAGCTTTCAGAGTTTCAGACAAAGGCTCTTTTTATATTATCAGATAAGAAAACTACAGATCCTTTGTCTATGCCTGTGACATTGGATTGATTACTGATAAAGAAGATTTTTTTTGACAGATTTATGGGGTAGAATCCTTGAAGATTTAGTGTGAAAAGTGAATTGCTCACAGGAAAGTTATAAACTTTTTGGTTCATAAACAGATACAAAAAACCATTTACAGTACATTGAAGTTTGTATTGAACAAAACGTTGTCAAGAAACCACTGAAATTTTGAAATGGAATGTATGTACTGTATTGGAGTAACTTTTGTATTCCCTCATTTGAAAGAGCTGAGTGTTAAGTAAAGTAATCATTCACCATTCCAGTTTGAGGCTTTGACTTCTGTTTGATGTAAAATATGGACCCTGACTCTTGAAGTGAAAAGTAAAGTTCTGGCAGCTGAAGTAAGGTGTTAACATATTGTGAAAGAATATCTTCGAGACAGAATAAGTAATGAGGAAATTTTGAAAGGCTTTAGGGAATGGAAAATATTTTGAAATTTTTTGAGACTTAGTCAGTTACAATAATTCAGCTGTAATAGGTGCATTGGGTGACCACCAAGTCACAACTTCCTCAAAAGTGGTGTCCATGGCAGTCAGATGATCATGGAGTGTTCAAATTGGCTGCATTCCTCCCTCCCTCCCCTCAAAGTATACCATATATGCAACACACGAGTTTGTTTGCCTTGTCACTTGCATCCAGTTGCCATAATATTCATACCTTCTTGTTTATCATTAATGTAACTCTTCATTGGAGTAAATAGTTGTGTATAGGAAGTCATTTATTTGGTTGCCATAGGTAATTTAGGGCCTGAATTTAGTTTGTAAAAGTGGAGTGATGTAACAAAGTATAGACATCAAGCTGGTTTAAATGCAGTTAATGATTGTCACCAAATTCAGTTTTTTTTATCAGGTATTTTGTGAGAATGGGATTTTGGTGTATATCGATAGATCAAAGGTGAGGAGATGGACAGTGAAGTGTGAGTAAGAATTTTGGTGTGTGAAGAAAGCTATCATGCTGAGCTGTGGGGAAATGGCCTTAACTAACTAATTAATCAGGTTAGAAAAGCTAATGGGTTCATCAGTAATATTACAATAACTTTATGAAAGATTGAAATTTTATTTTTGAGATAAGATGATGAACAGATGTTGAATTTAATAGTTTGTGAATAATACTATTAGATATTGTGACATACGAGGTTTAGTGGGTGGGGTAAAGGAAGTTAAGAGAAGAGCTGGTTTAGCTGTTGAGAAGGAAGAATTATTAACAGTATAATGTAAATTGGAATGACTACATCAGGAATTTCTATCTCTTTCTCAGATACTCCAAGGCGTATGTATTACCTGCACATTGCATCATGGGTCCTTAACACTTTTGGCATCTTCTTTATCCTGGCGGCACACGAGCACTACTCGATTGACGTATTCATCGCCTTTTACATAACGTCGCGTATGTTTCTGTACTATCACTCTCTAGCAAATAATCGTGCTCTGCATCAGCGTGATTCTTTCAGAACTAAAATTTGGTTTCCCATGTTTAGCTATTTTGAAGCTCACATTGATGGTATTGTGCCAAATGAATATTCAAATCCTCTCTGCAAAGCAAACCTAATCCAATTTTTTAACTCTGTAGTTTTGACCCCATACAGGAAAATATTTGGGCTTCGAAGAAAGGAGAAGCGCAAATAGAAAATTTCCTCCTTTTGTATTGTGAAAAAGTATACTGGTATTATTGCATTAAATAATTATTCCTTGGTTGTGACTAAGCTCAAAGAATTTGTAATATATGTAGGAGTTTCATTCAGCTGATGGAGTGCTAGAATGTGGATCAGCTGTTTTGTTGGTTAGGTAAGGTTATATTATGGTTTGTTTTGATGAAATTTTTGGTTAGCTTCCTAAGAATATACATTTAATTGAATAAATCTACATCACTGCTTCATATTGTCCCATTGCAACTTTTCATACTGTTTGCCTACAGTATGTGAGAAATCTCTTCTATGCTTTACTCTTTTCTCAGGGTCATCAGTACTTTTAAGTCCTCTCTTTAATGACAATAACCAAAGCAATTACTTTTAATTAAATGGTGTAATAAGTTTGTGTATGTAAATCTCCTCTTAAGTCTTAAGAATATTTTTCAAAAAAGTTTATCAGATGTAATGTTATTAACATAGTTTAACAGTATATATTTTTTGTGAAGTTACACTATCCTTTGTTGGGTAATGAAAAAATGCACGTAATAAAAGTTACAGTGGTATGGTGCAATGCTTTCATGATTTTTTATTATTGTAAGTGTTTTGCATATACAGTGGTCCCTCGGTTAACGAATTACCTTCCATAAGAATCTTCAATTCGGTTAACGAACAAAAATTTGATTAACGAAATCCTTAAAAAAATCACGTTTTGTTGTGAGCATCAGCTGATTAGTAAATATCACTAAAGTTGTGTTCTTTAATATTTTTGCATGTTTTATATTAAAATTATTAGTCATTTTAACATTTATTTAACATTGATAATATATGCAGTACCTGTACAGGGAACTAGTTTGTTGTGCACCCATCAGATACGTGAGTCGGTCACAAGGCGTCATTTGGGCTTTGAAAACAGTGGAGAGAGCATCTATTGTGTTGGTCTTGAATATTTTTGCATTTTTCATTGAACTTTAGTTAACATATTGATAATATATAGTGTAGTGCAGTGTTGATTTAAATAAAATAATCTTGAATTACACCTAGTGAACTTAAAATTTTATTGGTGAAATGACAGCATCAAGCATGGGTCCCCTGAAAGGTGATTTCTCCTCCATCCCCACTTCCTTCACTTCTGCCTTCTCCACTCCCACTTCTAATTCTCATCATCAACCAGGAACCTTCTACATACACACCTCAAAGTAAGTGTACTGTACTGCATTTTTTTTTTACTTTGTATGTATTTTTCGGTGAGCTGGAACCAATTACCCAATATCCCATTGAAACAATGGATTCAGTTAACAAAATTTTCAGTTAACAAACGACCTTCTGGAATGAATTGTGTTCGTTAACCGAGGGACCACTGTACAGTACAGTATAGAGTACTGGCAAACATGGATACTGTATTTTGTTTAAAGTTAGAGTATACTTGTACTATATTAGAAATGAATGAGTAGTTGGTACTGTCCTGGGGTTTATTTTTGTATAGTTTTTACTAGGTTAGAGAAGATTGAACTTCTTCCTCTCTTCCCACTTTATATATTGAACTGTGTAGTTAAATTGAACCTCGCGATTATGATGTTAATGGAAAGAGATGTTGAATTCAAAGACCTGGTTTGTAAATTTCTAAAGTTATGAAGAACATACTGTGAAAATGTAAGTGCCAACTGTATTAGGAGATGGTAGAGACAGTTATTGAATAAGGTGTGAAAAGAATTGCCTGTACTTTGTTAAAAGTGAGACAGCAGTTTATTGCAGACTGTAGTGAAATGGATTTGAAGGAGTTTCATAATACAGACCTTGTATTCAGACCCCTAGGAGCCTCCTGCAGGGATTCATAGTATCTCCAAAATCATATTGATGTTGGGTTTGGTACAGTTAATATAAAAAAGATTGTTACCAGGAAACCTACATCATCTACACTCAATACTTCAGTCCAGGGATACCGAATTATCCTCTGCCCAAAGAGACAAATTGCAGAGTCAGTAACCCTCCTTTAGGTATTGATGTAAGGGCTCTGCAGGTGGCTAGTCGTGGAAGCTGAAGACCAGACCTGGTCACTATTAAAGACAATTAAAATGCATATGAACAACATAAGAGTACTGTACTGTATCAAGAGTGGTTAACCAAGTTAAATATAAAATACATGTGTTTTAGTTATGACTCGGAAGAACTAGAAGCAGTGGCAAGGCAGTGATTAAATATGTTTTGACTATGGGAACATATAATGTGTTTTAGTGTCCCAGAATTTGATCTGCTGTCATGGAAAAAAGAAAATGTAAGTTTAGCATTTCTTCTTCAGATAAAACTTCATCAAAACTCAAATCGAGTGAAAGCAAAACATCTCGATATGTATATACAAACAGTACAGAAGATTTACTTGTGTCGCTACCAAGTTAAAACCATGTGTCTTGGCTGGGTCATATAATTATTTAACATTACCATACAGTGGACTCATGTATGTGTTGATATTTTCCCAGCCATTTCTTCACATCAGAGAGCCACAGTCAGTGCGTGGAAGTATTCCATAGTTACCCCAGAAAATTTATCAACTTTGAGAATACTTGAACAGGTTGTAACTCTGGTCCGTCATGTTTTGAATCTGGTGGCAGTATCTCCAGCTGAGTGTTTTGATTATACACTCATGTCTTTGCTTATATTTTGCCTATATTTTTCCCTACAATATGTCTTCACAAAAGACCATGAGGTGGCACCTTGAGCACTGCCACTAATGTTCCTCTTAGGGGCCATGATTGTGGTAAAATTCACCAGTAGAGAAAAACTACCAGCTAGAATGCCTGGGAGATGTTCACTGAACTAGTGTGACAGAGGACTCCAGAGTTACAGTAAGTTATGGTTATTTTTCAACTTGTAATTTTGGGTAGATATACTACTACTTTATTTTCTGTTACATGCACACAATCATTCATGCAGCGTGTGCCAAAAAATAATAAAAATCATAAGGTCAAAGCATAAAGGGAATAAATATTTCTCATGTACACGGGAGTTAGCACACAGATTGGGGGAGCTGTGTGGGGAATCTCAACTGTTCACTGTCTCCTGTGTCCCATGTGTAGTGAAACGATTGCCAATGCAGTATTTTTTATTTATTCCTTTCATTTACTGGTACAGTATATATTCTATATATAAAGAATAGCTTCTTCCACACTCAAACCATCCTCTGGGTGATGTGACACAGCTGTTTCACATTGGGAGAGGGAGCGAGCACAGCTGGAATGATGATTAGGCTCACTGCCTCCACACATTTTAAAATTTTTATTGTATTTTCTTTATTGCTAAACCACATTGGAATATTGTAATGATTTTATTTGAATTTTTATTTTTTCAAAAGAGCACGGACAAGTGATAACAAGCTGAACTAGTGAGAGATGCTGGGTAGGTTGACTCGTGCAAGAGCGAGACCCAAAAGTAAGAAAGGTGATTCAAGGAGCCAATTGCATATAAGCGGGGTCGTGTACTTTAGATACACGTACTCTTGAGACATTATTGTACAGTATTTTCTCTGTTCATAAGGAGCACTAGGACATTGAAATGACTTTTCCACAAATTCTGTGGTTACATAACACACAACAATGGCATTAGTGCTCAGTCGTGTGAGAGGTAGAGCTCTCGGGGCATTTTCTGTGGTTCAGTACCTGTCCGGTCTCAAGGGTGCCGGACTAGTGTGTTTCAACCTGTACTTCATTTTCTATTGTGGTGGGGGTGGCAGGGTCAGTATAGGGCAAGGGGAGGGCTCTCCCACATCATCTAGTCAGTTACCTCACTGCCATGCAGCTGTGTATGGCATGTATTGTGTTACCATGACTTAGATTGCAGTACCAGTTTTGGTTTGGGGGGCTGTACATCATGTGGGTGTTGAACTAGCAGAAATTATGGCATCATTTGATGGTGATACCTCAAAGCATCCAAGAAAGGGTGTAGCCTATTTTAGTGGTGGCGGAAAGAAACGTCCAGTGTGTGTGACGTGACCAAAGTATGGAAACCTTTTGTCTCCGCAGAGAAACGGGGTCTTTTATCTCAAATAACTGCTACAAAGCCTTTGCAACAGTCATCTGCAAACTAACAATCATTTTGCAACAATTCGCCAGACACTTCCCCTGTATGATTCAACCTGTCTTCCTGCTTACCTCCCAGCTCCTTTTCCCACTGTCTTAGTGCAAGAATTTGAAGTAGCAAGGCAATTGGACAAACTCAGGATAAATCACTTTACCACTCCCATTGACCTACTAATGAAGCTCTACAAGTTCTCCCCAAAACAAGCTAAATCCCTCTGCTCTATTATCAATGCTTCTCTCGGTCAACCAAGATGCCCAGCAGACTGTAAGACTTCAGGTGTGTCCTTAGTGCCCAAGTCAACGAGCCCAAAATCCTTAAACGAGTTACAACCCATTGCAGGTGCCATAGATCCTCAGCAATTTGGCAACATGAAAACTTCCTCCACCACCCACTGTCTTGTCAGCTTTCTAGAAAACATATTGTATATTTGTACTACCATTTGTAATAAACACAAGATGGCTGTAGCTGTTGCCCTCATTGATTTAACTAAGGCATTCAATTCAGTCAACCACATTTTAATCATTAACAAAGTCATCAACCTTGGGTTTTGGTGAAGTCTTATACCATGGCTTATAGAATTCCTTAGTGACTGACGCTAAGCCGTATGCTTCCGAAGGGTTGTATCTACCTTTCAGTCACTCACTTGTTGCGTCCCCAAAGGCACCAAGATGGTACTGCTCTGCTTCCTCATTCTTGTCAATGATGCCCTGAGAGAAACTCCTGCTTGTTGGAAATATGTCGATTCCATCATTGGGATCAGTGTGAGCAACCGATTACAGCGGCCTCCAGAATATATTGAAGTCTCCAAATTTGGGCCACCGAAAATCATATCATCAACCATACCAAAACCAATGGCTATGCGCATCAACATCTCCTCCAACCATGTCCCAACACATGGTTGTGGACTCCACTAAGCTCTTCGGTGTCACTATAGATTAACTGAATTGGAAAACACACATCAGCGCAATTCTCAAATTTTCTACGCCTGAGCTTAGTGCTTGCTCAACATTCATACTTCTCAAGTTCACCTATGCTTCCCTCACCTGGTCTTCCTCCTATACAATGCCACACGAAGAAAATGCTTAGAAAAAGTGCAAGATTCTAAGAACTCGACACAATGACCTCAACTTCTGTTCATCACCATGACCTCATCTGCAAGTTTGGGGAGAAGCTTTGGCACCATCCTTGTCACTGTCTCCTCCCACCAGAGATCCCATGTCTGCGAATTGCTGTTCAACGCTACAACCGCATCCAGCCCACATGACCACATACTGATTGCTATAAGAACAGCCCAATCCCAACTACTGTAAAACCTATCAACTCATAGTTATCAAGTGTGTTCACTCCCAACTTGACTTTTGTATTGTTACTATGATGAAATTTCTTCTTATGCCCTTCTCCACCCCTCCTCTTTTGTTACTATATATCATTTATACCACTTCTGTTTCTGTACTTGTACAGGGTATTTTATTTGTCATTCAAGGGACTAATTCCCCAAATATATAACTGTATATTTTCAGCCTTTTTGGCTGCCATGTTCTTTCAATAAACCATTAATTATTATAATTATTTATTATTAGATGTCTATGTCAGCACCTCGGCATCTTTTGATGCTGGAAAAATTAAAGTAAGGGAAAAAAAAAGCATCTTTCATACATGAATCAAAACACAGGAAAAATTTTATTTGTAACTTTGGCTATTCATAAACCAGAGCTTGCCTGTACTTGACTGCCTTCACTTTCACAACTGTTAAATAAGATACAGTATCTGTTTACAGCTGGGTCGACTAGGGATGCCCCAGAATTGAACCTGCGGACCTTAGAGCAGTAAGCAAGTTATGTACATATGTACAGTATCTACTTGGCTGCCACACCCAAATTAGTTGGTAGAGTACAATCAAGTTAATAAGAAAAAGTAAATACTGTATATAGTATTTAAGACTTTGGTATTTAACAAAAGAAAGCATATTGTGGCAGCAATCATATTGAAGATTACCATAAACAATAAGAAGTGGACAATTTCCTCTCCAAAGGCTTCATCATTGCCCATCTTATGTCCAGTACTGTACTTGGGGGTTACTGGATATGTCAGATCATGCTACATACATTACTGTACTGTACCTTCAAAAGGCTTAATCATTTACAGTATTAAGTAATCTTAACTTCCTTCCATTTACTTATCTGCATATTATTAGCTAATGAGTATTTGTCTGAGTTTAGTTGTTAGCATAAATGCACATGTTGAGGGCATGTGAATCAATGCCCAAGGATTAACATTGTATACTTGTCAACTGCCATTAAAATAAGTGATGCTTGTAGAAACAATACACCATAACACTAACGTTTTCTTAGAATTCGTTTATTAATTTATTCTACTGTATTCTATAATTCATTTCCTAAAAGTTCATCTGATGAAATAAATTTAACAAACACAGCATAATCTTCCTTGTAGAGCCTCGACACATTACAAAATTCTGGTGGAGAAAACCTGAACATAACCTAGCACATATGTTAAAGCTCAAGGGGTGATCAATATTTAGTGTATGTACAGTACACCTGGTTTAGTGATGACAGCTTGCCAAGAGTACTGAGTCTCACTGTCACTGCTGTTTACTTATACTGCACATTTAAGTTATTTTATCTTGTTTTACTTTACATAGTCCAGCTCTTGTTGAACCTCTGAATGACTAAACTTTCTTCATGACAGTCCCCGACAATGTGTCCTGTCACCAGTGATCTTTCAATTTGTCCTTTCCTCTGGAAGCTTAGGTAGGCATCCCACTGATTAGTATCTATGAATAACTAGATTATTTTTTGTCTTTTAGGTTTTCCATAATAAGTTATCATTTAAATATCCAACAGTAATTTCCACATAAGATTTGTATTCACATCAGTAATTATGTCCAGTTTTTATGAGGGGTGTGGCAGTAAAACAAGAGGTCTAGTGTGTAACTGTGTCCAGGTTTACATCACACTGACACAGTTTTCATAGTACAGGTAATCTTAAGATGCTTTAGTTTATCAGTGAAAAAGACCACAAGATTACCCTGGTAAAGGGTAATGACAAAAGAGTTGGGTGATGGTGGCACAGGGTAGCAAACTTGTCTCATCACTGCTATCTGGACCCAACCCATGCCTGACCAAGTTGGGTATGAGACAGGTGTTAACACGCCCAGTTTCACCTTGCTATTTGAGGCGGGTTTCATTTTGTATTGTTGCTGGACTAGCACTATCAACTGATACATGGCAAAAAAAGTAAAAGTAAGCTAATGCTGGTGAAACTCTTGACCCTTGTTGGGAGGTCCTTATTTCCTGAATGGTGCCACTAGCACTTCACAACTGTTGAAATGGATGAAGTAATATCGATGTGTAGGCTTTGAAGACGAACATGATTTATAAAAATCTTTATTACATTTAGCCAAATAGTTTGGAAATTGTGTGCCAGACTTTTTCCTCAGCATTTTACTTCCCATTACCTTGAAACTCTACTCGAGTCACTTAGACAGCATGTGCAATAGTCCAATCATACATCAGCCAGTTGTTTTCCACATTAGCCCTTTATTTAAAATAAAACCTAATAAATGTAATGATCTAAGTCAAATTTATGTAGTATTCTCTTGTGTTCTAAGCCCTTGTGAAGAATTAGAGGCCAAAGTGTTCCATCCCTGGAGCGAGAACTTGCAAGGTGGTCAAAACTTGTGTAAGACATGATGGGCTTTTCATCACTGCTGTAAAACAGTACAATACTGTATAAAGTTTCCAGCACTAGTGTAGCACTGACATAAGAAGTTCACAGGTTCTCCAATAGGGGTGTAGGTCATGATTGTCAGGAGAGAATTCCCTAGCAGGCAGTAGAAACTGTGAGAGAAGCAGTTTGCCCCTCAACTCCCAGAGGAGTTACTGCTAACACTGTGAAGGTGTAGGACGTACAGCTTGACAGGTTGATCACCTTGACCTGTGGGAGGGAGGAGGAGGATGAGTGAAGCAGCAAGTTACAGAACGATCAAGTAGTGCCAGGTTACCCATTGTTGGAATGACTGCAGTATAAGGAAGTATTAAGAGGCAGGACACTGTAACTGGAAAAATAGGCTCAAGGGCTATAATATCTAATCATTAAGTATATACAATTACATATGGGAAGAATGCAAACAACTTAGACTGAAACAAAAGTTTGCAATGCCACAATGATTAACTGTCATTGTATTAGTCATAATTATAAAGTATAATGACAAACCACATCTGTTTGTCTTCTACCATCTACAGGCCACTTTTTCCTATATAACATTAAAAGTAGATAAATTTTAACATGTGGAAACATCACAAATGTTAACTACTTACTTCTGCTCAGTTGTACATATTCAGTCACCCCTTTCACCGGGACATCTTCACTCTGTCCTTCCATCTAAATCTTCAGTTTCCTCTGGAAGGCCAACTACTTCCCACTTTTATAATGTGCTTTACATCAATAGATTTTTAATTATGGCCTAATGCTACTCATAAAAGTTTTAAGTAATCCTAGACTCAATATGGCCCACTTTGAACTATAATGTAAGCCATCACATATTATAAACACGAGACCTACCGAGACCTCCACTGGGTGGTTAGGTAAGGTGAAATCTTGGTGACCACTGTCAGTACTACTGGTCCAATTTAGTCTGTATTCCTCAGCACAAAGTGCATTGTCCTGCAGGGTAAGATAAACACAATACATTATATATTGTCATGCAGCTGTTGTTAACTGATAAGTACTGTAGTTAATAATCTGTGAGGTTTTATTAGGGAAAATCAAAGGATAGAGAATATAATTAACCAATTGAATGAAAATTATAGTTGAATAATCAACAATTAAAAAAAGAAAATCCAACCTGTGGCATAAACCATTGTAGCGATATGTAATCCTGTGCTATTTCAGTGTAGCTCAGTGCCCGAGGGGCCGAGGGCTTCTCCTCACCAGTGGTAAAATTCTGGTTGACTTGTTTACTTGTGTAGCCAGAGAGTGTAACAGCACTTATCCACAGCCCATAGTTAGTGCAGGCATCAAGGCCTGCCAGGGTCTGCACCAGCGACTGACTAGTCGCTAACTCTGCATGCTGCAAAGAAATAGGATTTATTCTCTGGAAGTAAGAGTACATCTGAACTTAGTGATAAAAACACAAATAATTGCTGTAAGGCATTAAGATATTGTTCACTGAGTACATCTCTCCTTGACCAAATACACATCACATAATAGCTCTTAAGCTTTACACCTTCTCCATCCCTTACCATATTTCACTGAAATCTTTAACACTCTCTTCATAATCTGACTTTCCTCACACTAAAACTCAAGTAGCCATAATCATACTGTCGTGATAAGTATTGTATACGCCTACTGTGTTTCTCGTGATATTTTATTCACAGTTTGGCATCAAGTGGCTGTTGTAGCTTCATCCTCATTAAGGTCATTAACTTTTATATCTTCAATTAAATGTTTCATTTTTTTTTAAAACTATTGCCCTTAGTGTAGCTAATTAACAAACATTACAACAGCTTATTTGTTTGCATTTTTTACCATTATCACATTGATTATACTGACCATGTATAACTTCACTTTTTTCTGTCCTTTTAGATTTGTGACCACATCCACGGGTTTCAGTTTTTAAGTAACGCGAATCAGAAGTGCTATAGTATATGATATTACTTTTACTTTTATCCTCTTCACCACTGATCGGCTCGATAGCCGCTTGGGCGATCGGTCACGTCTGTTACGCACTGTTGGCAAGTACTGGGCACGCACTGGCTCTTGAATGTACCTGAACCTGCTCCAGTGTTGGTCAAGTCTGGTCTTGAAAGAGCTCACACACGGTGCCCTCACAACACTTTCTGGTAGATTGTTCCAAGAGTTCACAACACTCACTCCGAAAAAGTTTGCCCTCACAGTTTTTTGGACTTGCGGCTTCTTCAATCTTGAGATGTGACGCCTTGTGGGGCGAGCGTCTTCCAGCTCCAAGTAAGGACACTTAACTGAGTAGTGCCCCTAGAGATGCTTATACACCTCAATTAGGTCGCCCCTTGCCCGTCTGTAGTATAAGCTAGACAAGTTCAGGCGTTCCAATCTCTCAGGGTAGTTGAGGTGCCGAATTGCAGGCACCTGTCTGGTGGCCCTCCTTTGAACATTTTCAACCAGTCCCTAGCATATCTCAGGGACCAGACGGGGTGACAGTATTCCAGATGGGGAAGCACTGCACTCTTGAAGATCGTTACGAGGGACGGACCATCTAGATATCTGAACGACCTTATAAGACCCAATAATTTATTTGCCCGATTTACCTTCTTCTCACAATGGCCCGAGAACTTCAGCTCATTGTCAACATACACACCTAAGTCCTTCTCACATTCAGTCTCAAATAGTGCAGTTTCTTCATCCCGTTGGGGCATATGATACGCCTCCTTACCGTTGGTACACCCCAGGTGCATCCTCTTACACTTCATGACATTGAATCTCAGTAGCCATTTCTTCGACCATTCTTGGAGCTCACAGAGATCCTTCTGCAGCACTTCACAGTCCGCATGGTACTTGATTTCCCGAAATAACTTGGCATCATCGGCAAACATTTGTATGGAGGAGTGCACAACGTCAGGCATGTCATTTATGAAACAAATAAACAACAGTGGGCCCATTACACTGCCCTGTGGTACCCCGCTTGTGACAGGTACAGATGATGATTTCGTGCCATTAATCACCACACACTGCTTGCGGTCATGTAGAGTCTTCTATCCACGCTAGGACATTTCCCCGAATTCCGTACCCTTCCAGTTTGATTTTCAGCTTTTGTGGGGTACACTGTCGAAAGCCTTGGCAAAATCTAGGTATATATTGTCGATATTACCACCCCTTTCCAGAATATGGGTCCAAATATCCAATACCTTGAGCAACTGTGTTAAGCAGGAGCGCCCCGGCATAAAATCGTGTTGGCAATCCTTTTCAAGGTTGTTTCGTAGTAGATGTTCCATCGCGGCATCTCTGATAATATTCTCAGCAACATTTATTTTAGAATTCAAGACAATTTCAGTGTTTGCTCTATATGCAATATTATGTAAGTTATATGAAGTCTTATATTAGGTCTATACAATATCTCTCACAAACATTACAGATGAAAGAATTGCTCCGACGGACTAAAGAATAAATAAGATGTAGCTTTGCAACAGACTTCCTATGTTCAGTGTGTATAGTGAATGTAGACCAAAATAATATAAGAATGGGGGATTTGACACTGTTTTGTCCATTTCTTAAAATTTTATGACATGTGTACTGATTCAGTTAGATACACTATAGTGTTCCAACCCATTAAATGTCGTGACCAATCAGGGTTGTAGGGTTGTGTTGATGATCTGCAGTGTGCTGTCTGTTGAACCATTTTCTTACAACTTTCTTTCTCTTTATTTATAGCATTTATTTACCCTACTGGCTTCTGTGATTACACTTATTGGCTTATACTGTTACACTGACCTTTAAATTGGACACATCTTCAAGTTGTATAATATTAGCTTTGTACTCGTGGACACAGTGTGGATTCTCCAGGGGTGGGCTGAAGGAGGCCACGGCAGAATGTGGCCTAACATTTGACACTTCCAGATCAGTAGGTGGACTGGTGGCTGTGGGAATGTTGAAGGATAAATATGGTTAGATACAACAGTTAACTGAGGCATTTAGTACTACAGTATAATTTTATTTGGCATAGTAAATATGTTCAGTATTTGAGTCACTTTAGTTTTTACACCTATACTGTATAATAGTAAACACAGTACTCACGGAGGTCTTCTGTTTTTGCCATGTCATAAATGAAGCCGCCCAACCTTCCTGAGGGAGACACAGACTTCACTGTTATCTCATACTGCCCACAAGCTGCAAGGTTCTGAGGGGTGGAGGACAACAGCTGATCAGAATAGATAAATAAATGAATCTTCTCCTCAGCAGTCAGATCCATGATACACAGGTGTTGTCGTCCCCACAGATAATTGGTTTCGGGTTATATGACTGCGTTTGGTCAATGATCTTGATTAAAAAAACATAAATGATATATATATATATATATATATATATATATATATATATATATATATATATATATATATATATATATATATATATATATATATATATATATATATATATATATATATATATATATATATATATATATATATATATATATATATATATATATATATATATATATATATATATATATATATATATATATATATATATATATATATATATATATATATATATCAGGTTGTGGTGTACAAAGTGATCCCATATAATCATGCATCCTGAAGTAATTTGACTGCTGAACTTGTGTGACCCTGTGACCTTCACCCTTGACATATCTTGATCAAAAGCAGTTGGATTCTTGGGATATTCTTAAAAAAAAGTGATAATAATCTGAAAGTTTAAAATCAATAGCCCAGAACACCGACAGAGAACTACCAAAAGAAAGAATTTACATAAAAAAAGATGTGGATCATTAACATGTCATCATTACAGATAAGACACTCGCCTTGAAACTCTTCATATGGTCGGTGGTGTCATAGCAGTTCTTGGAGAGGTCATCAACATCGGTTATACACACGTGGTAGTGATCTACACACTCCTCCATGACTGAAGGTGTCCACTGGGCTGACACAGTGTTGGTGTCAACAGCAGTAGCTGTTAATGACACCACTGGTGTTGGGTCTGGAAGCAAATTGGCCAGATAGAAGGCTAAAGGCAGTAGTGGTGACAAATACAATGACTTTCAATTAAATTATTTATCATTTATTCATTCATCTTCCTATTCTTTAAATTTAATAATACAATACTTGACAAATTTAAAATTTTCTCAATTTTCTGCCTAGACAGATGGGAATACAGTATAGCTATTGATTTCATGTGAGTGCGTGTGATCATAAGTTTGTAAGAGCAATCCGTCCTCCAGTTTATAAACTGATCTTCAACCATAATCATCCCTAATAAGACAGTAATTATAAAAACAAAAACTTTAAACTTTACCAACTCTGCCAAATCACAGATCAATAATTGTAATTAGCGAGATAATTACTTCACAAGACATCATTAGGAACCTTGTCTCACTCACCAGCGTCTTCTGTAGAGGCGTAAGTCGTCCTGGTGCTGCCCTGGACATCCTTGGCTGACACTGCTGACACTTGGAAGGTGTAGTTGGTACAGCCCACCAGATCATATATGGTGGCAAAATTGTCGCCTAGGAGATCTGGTGTGTGGGTCATGAGCATCTGGAGCTTGTTGTCTGTCTTAGTGTATGTGATCCTCCATCTGCAACACAGATGTCTTTTTATGAGGTGATCTTTGGGGACCTGCATGAGTCAAATACTGAACCTGAACATGTTAGCCAATTGACATATTTTAATAAGGGAAGGTCCACCTAACATATTGATGCGCACTGTTGTATGCGCTTCCCCTATTCCACCATTTTCAAAAGAAGTTAACTAAGCTCACAATAAAACCTTAGTAAAAAAAAATATACCTATATGTAACATGGATATAAGTTTGGGTATTTAAATCAATTAGTTCTTCTGATATGCTTTCAATATGACAAATAATTATTGACATCTTTTCCAATGTTTGGTGTAAATCAGTCCTATATAATACTGTATGCTGTAGGTGATTGACTATCTAAATGTACATGTGGTAAGAGTGTGTCTTTAGCTTAGAAGGAGAATTAGGTGTAATTCAAAATCACAATTACAGAACCTTTTGCCTGTCTGGAGATTTTAGGAATGTGTTGTCAACAGATGAATTAATCTGTGGGTTATTGTACCCCACCTGAAGATCTTAAACTCTTCATGTGGTGTAAAAAAAAAAAATATATATATACCTGTATATTCTTGACATCTTTAAATAAGGAAAAGGTACTGGAGTGATAATTGACTAATCTCTGAAAGCAATGCAAAAAGGTTCTGTTCGTGGAATTTTTCCAACTGTAGCCATCTTGCATGACTCCAGGTCAAACAAGTTTCTGTAAGTTAAACCTACTTGCTAACACAGTTGGCTCGGTCCTTAGGATTATTCCACGACAGTTCCACCCAGGTGTTTGTCTGGTTGATCACGTGAACATTTTCTGGAGCTCCAGGTGCTATAAAATAAGAAAATAAGTGATGGTTAATTTGTACAGTATACTGATTAGTTTCTTAGAATTAATCAAGCCATATTGTTGAATCCAATGTTTATTATGCTTTTAGACTAATGAAAGACTAGATTCTCAATGAAGACCTGTTAAAATTATAATATACAGTACTGTATATTTCTTGTAAAAGCAAGAGTAATTTTTGGTACATTGACCACACCTGCATCATTGGTGTTTGTGTCAAATTTCAGTTGGTCACTCCTTCCTCCCCACAGTGAGATGGAGGTGATGGTGACATGGTAGACTGTGCATGCCTCCAGATCCTGCATGGTGTAACTGTTGGTGGTGGCAGTCACACACTCTGCCACAGTTGAGCCAAACATAGTGAAACACACCTGTAACATGCAGAGTGAGCTCTATCTCTCATAATTGTTTAATGTTGTTGGACTAGTGGAATTACTAACCTTGTTATGTGCTTAAAGACCTTTGTTGTTGAAGTGTAGTAGAAGTGTAGTAATAACATTATAACAACAACACAGTAAACTTTAATTCTAGAAACACACACTTAAATTAGAAATATGAGGACACTTTCTCTTAATTTTTAGTTGTAGATGACTAGTGTATTTACTAACCTAGAATACGTACTTAAAGACCTTAGTTGTTGAAGCGCAAAAGTGCATTATTATAACAAAACAAATATTTAACTTCAGAAAATAAGTGAAATACAATGTATATATTCTTTAAACACAAATGCCCTGCAAACAAAATGGAAAACTTAAAGGAAATTTATATACTGTACTGTACAGGTTTACCAAATAAGTATTGGCCTATACTTATGAAATTAAAGGAGTCTTTTATTTAATATTATACTGAATCAAATGACAACTCAAGTAAGACCTGGCAAAAATTTTTATGATGTTTTTTATTAATGTGCCTATCACATGAACATGTGGGAACAGTCAGTAAATGAGACTTTTAGACAAGATTTTGTGTATATTATTGTAATTTAGATGAGAGAAGAGTTAATGATTAAGGTGATGAATCTGAAGAACATGCTTATGGTGATGATAATATTTCCTCACACACATGTTGTTGACTTATGAGCTACCTCATAATGATCTAAGCAGGCAGCATTGGCAGGTTGAACCCAGGAGATGGTGGTGCTGGTGTCAGTGGTGTAGTCTGAGGAAGGGTTTCTAGGTGCTCCTGGAACTGTCAACATATACATGCTAGAGTAAATGGTAAATGAAAAAAAAAAAAAAAACTTCAATTATAATGTTTGTGTCTGCATTAGTAGACTTCAGAGAGCATTTTTCAACTACGAGAAACAGATGACTATTTTCTCAAAAAATATGATGAAGTTTGGAGGTGAACACATCCCGCTGAGGTACTCACCAGTGCCGAGGGTGGTGGCATCAGTGAACAGTGTGGAACCTTGTATGTCTTTGCCTTCATCAGTAAGGAAATATGGTGTCAAGGTAAATGTCTGGTGTGTGCACGAGTCCAGGTAGGTTATGTTCAGCCTGCACACCAGCTGATTACACCTTGACTGAATAGATGAAGAGAGATAATTCATTTGAGAAAGGGGAGATGTTATTTCAATCTGAGAGAGAGAGGTTATCTAGGGAGGAAGGTGTGGGTGTCATATTCCCATTCTTGTGATAAATTTTCTTTTTCCCTTTCATCCCTTTTGCAATTGTTGCTTCTTGTGTGGAAATATCATTTACCAAGAATTAAAAACAGTGTTTAAATACATGTATCACCTAACATTTACATCATAACTTTACAGAGCTGTCAGACAATACAGACTTACATCTTCTGCTAAATCATCATTGATAAGGATGGAGAACTTGTGAAAGTCTCCCCGTGATTCACTGACGGACCACCTCAAGCCTACCCACGTCTCTCCCACAGTCTCTGCTTCAAACTCCACCACCCACCCCGGTGGTACAGAGGAGGGGGTGTAGTCTGTAGTGGTGGTGGGGGCTCTTGTCGGTATGGTGACCTCACGTGTTGTGGTGACTTCGGGTGTTGTGGTGGTGGTGACTTCTGGTGTTGTGATGGTGATGACTTCGGGTGTTGTGGTGGTGGTGACTTCTGGCGTTGTGATGGTGATGACTTCGGGTGTTGTGGTGGCGGTGGTGACTTCGGGTGTTGTGGTAGTAGTGGTGGTGACTTCGGGTGTGGTGGTGGTGACTTCGGGTGTAGTGATGACTGTGGGTGTTGTGGTAATCTCAGGTATGGTAGTAAAACTAGCAGGAGTAGTTGAAACTTTGGAGACACAATGAAAATAAAAGCTGTTGAGTTGACGAGTAAAATTATCTTCCACAATAATTATGGATTTTAAAAGCTGTTTGATCACTGGGCATATAAAAGCAAAATCTCTCAATACTGTATTCTATAAACAGCAAAGGTTACTTTTATTAACACTATTAGTGACGACACATCCAGTAACAAAAACAAGTAAGACATCATACACGATAAACTTTTCTTGTATATCTAATGAACTGAAAATATCATAAACATAACTGATGATCAATAGTAAAAGTGTTAAAGAATGTCCCTTAAGGAATTGATAATTACTGGATTACATATGGAAGCACTAGTAGTTTAGTATCACCTGGTAAGTTTTGACCACTGAAATTGACTACAGACGTCCAGCTTTAACTTCGTCGTGCCCTAAGATATTTAAGATACACTACATCTCATTATTAGTCTATGGAATAAAAATCAAACTGTGCACCATAAAATATATTGCATACATTGACGAGTGTAAAACAGTGTTAGTGAACACTATTGAGAGAATCACAGACCAAGTTTGTGAGGTTTAGAATAATGATGAGGATTAACTGGGGGTCGACAGATGGCTCACTTTGCATATGGAGTAATGGACTTTTTCAGTGTGATATTTGTCAGTGCTATTAAACAAGGAAGTGTATTGACATATGGGACTTGCTGCTCTCTGGCTCAGGCTTAGTCAGCTACATTACTACAAACACATGATTTATTTCCTAGAAGGTGACTTTGGTCTTGCATATGTTTCTGAAGGAAGTTCTCTTTGCCAGGAAAATTAGCAATATTAACAAAGAAAGTTTATTTGTACCAAAGTTTTATGTTTTCCATTGACCTAATGAACTAATTTACATAATGACTAGTAGTGTGTCAAGTGAGGTGAGGATGATTGGTTTGTTCAGAGGTGTGCTGTGTATTTGATTGGCTGTCCAAAGGTATTCCTGTACGTATACAGAATCATAGAGCAAGAACTACAGTGCACTGCCAACATACATAAATATTCTTTGCCCTATAACATTTCTATTATATATATTGTTATTTTACCTGGCATGTTGAAACATTAAAGTTAATGATGTTCATATTAAAATCATGGTACAGTACCATATAGGCCCTGCTACTGAAAGTTATCCAGTAATACAAAATATTCAAATTTTGATTTGGACATTATTACTTTGTCAGCCTCTTGTTAAAAAAAAAAAATCTGAATCAAACACTTCCTTGTTACAATTACTGTATTTATTTATACAAAAAATTTTTACTTGTCACTTTACTACAGTACTTTGCAGTTACCCTCACTTACTAATATACTATACTATTTGTATACAGTACATAATCTCTGGACAATTTATTATATTCTCACCTTGAAGGTCACCGAGGTCCCACTGACAGCGACCAAGGTTACCTCTTTCATCAACACCAATGACATCTAAAGTTCGGACACAGCATGAAGCAGTGAAGGTGGCAGTGACTGGATCTGTTGTGGACTTAGTAAACCCGTCAAGGGTCAAGTCTCCATCGGGGCGAGAATACACGCTATTCAAACCTGAAAATGGAAAGAAATCAAACTTTTCACTGAAATGTTTATACTACTTATGTTTTGTGACATGAATTTCCCCAAATTTAACAAAATACTTTAAATGCATTTGGGATAAAAAGGTGATACCTCAATCAGGTGGTGATATAAAAGCCTGAGCTTTAAAGCTTTCAGGAAACAAAAATCACACACACACACACAAAAAGTTAGTACATTTTGCATAACATTAACACATCTATGAATAAGTAGTACGGGCATCCCCCAGGTTACAGAATTTCGCCCTTACAGAATTTACAAATTAGACTTTAATTTTGGGTTACAGTAAAAAAGCCCTTACAGAATTTAGTAAAAAAAAAATCACGTTTTTATATATATATATATATATATATATATATATATATATATATATATATATATATATATATATATATATATATATATATATATATATATATATATATATATATATATATATATATATATATATCACATTTTTGGGCCTAAAAAAAATTCTTTAGGAATGCATCTCCACTTTTATCCTGACAGGAAACCAAAGTTCGAGAGTTTTAGCTTACTAGTTTATGAAAGGCTTGTGTCGTCTTTACAAACAATTGTTACCAAACTGTAAAGTTAAGACGGGGGAAGCACCATCCATTAAATCCGCGAAATCTGATTGACAAAAATCAGAAATTAAATTTAAATGCAAAGTTACATCTCGGCGAATGGGGCGATGACTGAAGGTTAAATAACAAGGTTTTAACAAACATTCTTCTTGAGGAAGAAAGAAAGGCTTTTTCATTAGATTCACAAAGTAAATTGCCTATTGTCCCAAACATGAGAAGAAAAAATACTGTACTAAATTACTGAACACTTCAAGAACTGGAAACTGTGACAATGCGTATCAATGTCTATCAAGTTTTTTAACCACCTGGTGACCAGTATTGAGAAGCCTTCAGAATAGCTTACCTGAGAGAGTATCCTGCAGGGTGGCCACAATGGTCCATGACTTGTCTCCGCAGCTAGACTCTGTGTTATAACCTGAACAGTCGGGGACGTCTTTACTATCACACGTGGGAGGTACTGTGTCCTGGTTCTGTGAATGACAAGTTTTGATTATCTAATTAAGCAGTAATCACACAGCCGATTCCAACAGAATGTTTATTAAGAAGTCACTAACTGCCCCGTTCATTTATATATTCATTGATTTACCTGTTGTCTTATGATTCTCTCAATAATTTATTTATTACTGTAGCTTGATACAATTATTTGTCTCAGTTCAACGATTTATATGAAATTTGAGTGTATCCAGACTTATCTTGATGGAACTAAGGAACTGGTTTTAATTATTTGTATCCCTTTAAGGCTTAAGCTATCTGCCCAGCACTTAACGTACTGCACAGGTACTATACAGTACATCCGCTTTGCATATTTCCGGTTAACGTACAGGTTTTCAGGAACGCACCATGTAGTATGTAGTACGTTAAACGGACACTGACTATATTTACTTCATTAGACTACGTTAAATAATTTGACAAAAGAACGTACTTTATCAATAACAAGATAGTAGGTGATGTAAGTGTTGACGTTAGCGGGGTTGAGGACAGAGGCGGCCGTGAAGGTGACGGTGCTGGTGGTTCCCGGGGCAGCGAGAGAAGGTATTCGGAAGTCCACCTCCACATCTTTCGTTCCCATGGATGGTATGATAGATCTATGAAACAGCAGTAGTGGGAAAGTATTTAGGTTCTTTGTACAGCTTTATATGGAAGGACAGGATACACCAGAAGAAAATTAAATATTTAAAAGAATGCTCTCCCTCCCTTTCTTGTACATAATACTAACACACACTATTTTCTATTACAAAAGTATCTCGCATTCATGAGCAGTTCCTGTACTTAATATTCCTCAGTGAGAATACCCACCTGATGCCCACTGTCTCATCTCAGAACCTTTCAGTCAGATGAACACTCCTCATTATGAAACTCACGTCTTTGGATTCCAATGGTAGATGTATTTGGCTTCGTCAGTAGCTGTGTACTTAAACTGAGCCTCAGGACCGTAATTATGGACCCGGAAGTAGGCCTTGGTGCTCTGACCTGGGGTGGCGTACAAGACTGATGACTCTACCAACAGTTCGATCTGACTTTCCACAGGAATCGCCAGAGTTGGGGAGATGCGACTGAAGGGTTTACCTTAGGGAGGCAAAGTGATAACACTGGTTACTACTGTTATTTATAACATTTATTCTTCCTGAACAGCGGAAACGCCTGAATGATTTAGAACATGGCATTCGGTGGTTATAGAGATACCATACCGACATTAGTGAACGTTTGAAGGTTTAATGAGTCCTTTTTTTCTTCTTGCTTTCGTACACGGCAGAATGGCGGGAAAAAGCTTATAAAACTAAAAATGTGAATATTCTTCCTAATATTATCTAACATTATTACATATTGCAGTTTTGTACTAATATTATTTAATAAATGTTACATAATATAACTGTTGACCACGAGCAGGATTACAAGATGCGGCAGCTAAAAAAAAATATGCTTACAGTATAGTTAATATCTTATTTAATTAATCCAACGTCCAATAACCATGATACAACTAGCCACTTATTATGAGCAATGACTTTATGTAAAGTCTCACGTGACTGTCCCACAAACCAAACAAACAACAAAACCCAAAAAGACACATTTTGTCCCACAACAGAACCAATCTTACGGCGAAGCTCGATAAAAACAGGTGAGCCTCGCGTACATTCTGTTGTCATACCTTTTTCGAGGTATCCATCAATTTGTATGTAGAAGGGGACCCCTGGGAGTGCCTCTGATTGGATGTAGATGTGGTCGTCCACCTCACCATGATAGTCGACATGGGAGAGAACACTTCCCTTCTGAAACACGAGGTCAGGTTTTGTCATCAATATCAAGGTTTTGTTTGCGGGCTCTTCTGCTCCACCTGAGTGTGTGAACATTATTTTTTTATATTTGTCTGTGTGTTCCTGTGTCACCCTGTTTATGTTTGTTTGTGTGTTCATCTGTATATGTACAGTATGAACTGTATGTGTCCTTGTATCCTTCCATACACATATATATTTTAATGGCTGCCTCTATATAGTATAAAATATTAAATGGGAGGTAAACATTTTATTCAAAATTAATTTATTTTCAAGTGTTAATTATGTGCATTGCACTTTATTCAACTTAGTTTTCACAGACTATTATATATATGACTCAGATAATTAATGTATGCAAACCTTGGTATAATTAAACACAAACCTAAACAAACAGACTTCATAATTTAAGTTTGTCATACACATATCTTATACATACAGAGCACTACCTACTGTCTGTAGAGATAACTGATTAACATAATGTTTCTGTGAAGGACTTAACACTAACCTTATCCACAAACTCCATGAATGTAATCTTCTCAACGTTGCTTTCCAGATATCCAACTAGAGATATCTCAACATAGTACTGCTGTCCTGTAGAATACAACACAGAGTTAAACTTATTCATTATATTATCTTTTTTGAATTATTAAAAGTTACGTGGAGTGGAATATGTCAGTGAAGCACCTAATCGAACATTTGAGTTTTGTTTGGCTTCGAAGAAATGGGATGCTTTGTTAATGGTTCATCTTATGGACCAAGTGCTTCGTTTCTGGTGCTAGGAATTCAAGTAATGAGTAGCCTGGTCGCACTCAGCCGGGGCCTTGGGACCTGCCTTGTTGTAAACATCATTCCTACTATGAAAGTTATAGATTTGTTTTTTATATTTATCAATGTTAAAGATTATTTAAAACTAAAAGTTAAGACTCGGAAAAGGCCTACCACGGAACTTTATTTTGAAATTTATATAGGGAGATAGAGCCCCCCAAAAAATTAATTACGTTTCCGTCACAATTTTTTTTTTCGATGTTTAAAGTTTTCGATTCGACTTAAGAAAGTACGCTTTGGCAGGAGCCAATTAGCGTTGCTCTCGGTGTCGTCGCGTGATACTCCTGCGCATGCTCAGTTTGTTTACCTAGTCGGAATTCGGAATTTGTCTTTCGGTCTTCCCTGTTCAATGGGTGTTCTTCGTCTTGGCAAACCATTTATCGTGTATTCGAAAATGAAACTGCTGCTATTGACAATTTAAAGGCTAAGGGTATTCTGCTAACTGCTGTGAAGTGTGCAGTGCGGTTCAGACTCACTATTGTTAAGATAAGAACCTTTGGTTTTATACTAGAAGACGGAAACTTGCTTAGACGAAGAAATCTCCTCATTGTGGCTTATGCATTTCTGCATTTAAGGGCACTTGGTTGGACAAAGCACCTACAAGTCGCACCACTTTTACTTCCAGCATGTGATATTTAAGGTAAGGTTTGGTCAGGTTTTTTTTCTTCATGTTTTTACCCCACAATGGGTCAGTTGGTAGCTTCGACCAACCACGGCTCTCCAGTTGAGCAATGTGTTTTCCGACGGCTTGGACAACTTTAAAACATTTTTCTTCTATGTCGTTTCCCCTGCAAATAACTTAAATATAACGGTTAGGTTAGGAAATTTTAGGTAGCGTTCCCGGAGTGAAGGGTTAGTGGAGTAGTGTACTAAGATGTTTATGGCCCAAAATTAGGGGCGTTCCATTTTTATTGATATGAAGATTATTTTATCGTACTTGAGGTGATATTGATCAACTAATGCAACTGTAAATGAACCTACAGTATTTTTATGTAGTTTATGTCAATTAACCCAAAGTGTAAGTTCCCTGGAAAAGATGCAAGAGACCTAAGTGGCGTTACCTGTCAGGGGGCGTCCAGGAATCAAGACGTAGCTGGGTCGAGGAGGCAGCAGCTCCAGCTCTGTATATTCTGCTAGGAATCCCAAGGTAGAAATGGCACTCACAGACACACTGTACTGTGTTTGAGCGCTCAGCTGTTTAAGGAACATATATAAATTTTGCATACATTAGTGAAAACTTTCTTTTGTGATCTATTATAGTAATCATTTAATAAGGCAGAGAGATAGAGATCTTACCTTCATAGACCACTGGCAGTGAGCTGGTGAAGTGAATGTGATAGACTTGAGGTAGTCAGTGTGCGTGATAACCTTGACGTTATCAGTGGCGTTCAGACCACCCTTGTCTTTCAGATCATACCAACTACCTGGTGTTCACCATTGTGATAATGATAAATATTATTAATATACTTACATACCTGTACTATCGTGGACAAAAGTTCGCTCCCTGTGGTGGAACTGAGTCACAGGAATGAGTCTCCGAACTGACTTACCCTGACTGTGTGCGGGTGTGCTGTTTTGTCTCATTTGGGGTCGATACTGCTTCAGTTTTGGAGGGAGCGAACTTTTGTCCACGATAATACATACATCTCCTGGTAAATAGGGATAATCGCCGATTAAGCTTTAAAAGGCAACTGATATTTTTACTAAGTAGGGATAACTTTGTTTTTATTGTTACAAGATAGCCAAATTGTACCTAAAGTATGTTAGTTTAGGTTAGGTTAGGTTTGAAGCTCTTCATTTATATATATTGTTTGTAAATTTTATCTACGTTATCGTCTACGGTCAGTCAGAAGTTAAAACAATATAACTTACAAAGCGTAACACATACATACAGTACTTCCAACAGTAGAGGGAGGAGAGTCTTATCTAGCAGTAAGGTAATCAAGACCAGACAGATTTGCTGCGCTACAATATTTTACAACGAATATTTTACTGAAAAAAAAAACAATCGCATTCTGGCTTGTTCAAGTAGATTTTTGTGGGGTCATGAATACTCACTGCTCTGTAAACAGGGCACTTAAAAAAAACACACACACACACACACTGTCCACTTACAAGTATACACAACTTCATACGTACACAGACACCCACAAAGGCCTCACCCAGTCCATCTGTGAGTGTAGCCTCGTCGATTACTCCGTTAATGACCACGGTGAAATTAGCGATGGACTCGTCGATAGGAAAGGAAAGTTCTTGATGATTCACTACGTCCTCTCTCATCCGTAGCCCAACCTGTGTGTAACCGGGAATAATAACACAATTATTACATGTTCATTGAATTTATATTTTGTATAACCTGGAGAGGATATAAACTATTACAGGAAGCTACGAGACGAGGGGTAGGTTAAGTTAGTTTAGGTTGGGTTAGGTTAAGTTAGTTTAAGATGGGTTAGGTTAGCATTTTGCACAGATATTGTCACTCAGTTAGCCTTCTAGATGATATTGACTTTTCATTGATAGACTCAGGAACTGTAAATGGTAAAATAATCTTTACACTATCATTAAACAAGTATTTCTTCTTGAAAACCAGACGACAAATGTTTAATATTTATTTCCAGATTAATAGACAGTATTTATCAAGTTTGTTCAAGACAACCACAGCACTCGTAAAGCTTTGACAGTCAATATTGTTGTTATTGCTCACTTTGTATCTGTAATATTCTGGCTAAATAGACTCAATTTTAATATACATTTCTTATTATTCTGGCCAAATAAACTCTCAGTTTCAATTTAGCTGCCAGTGAAGGCTACAGTTGCCAGCAAAAGTTCTCCTCTGGGAGGACTTTTGCTGGCAACTGTACATAGATAATCGTACTGTACACAAATACCGGTTTTGTATGTATCCTTCGCTAGGTAGTTTATTCATGTTAATCTGAATACACGTAGCCTAGTCGCCTCATAAACAGATAGCCAACTCACCTCATAATACAGGTAGCCAACTCGCCTCATAATACAGGTAGCGAACTCACCTCATAATACAGGTAGCCAACTCACCTTACTCTCATCCACACCGTCTTCTATGAACCCTGAGATGTCGTCAATATCGAACTGGTTAATCTCGATGAACTGACCACCGGTGATGTCGGCCAGGTTCTTGAGCTCCTCAGTGCCGGAGACGACGTAGCCGGGACACTGTGCCTGTGATCCTCCGTTATTGGCGTAGCTGTAGATGATGCTCACCTGTGTGGGTATGTCAACAAAAGACTTCACTTATTATCATGTTGGTTATGTTTGTAATAGTAACGTCTTGGTACGAGTTGATAATGTAAATACTACTTTAATGAGATGATACAAATAATATGATCGTGGCCATTATATTATATAGAGATTGTGTATACATGTTATTAGATTAAAAACAAACATATACGTTGACAATTATATCCATTTAAATCCTTCTGTGTCTGCCTCGGTAATTATGAACACAAAGGGGGAGGAAGTAGGTCGGTGTTCTTGATAATATCGTAGCAACTGATTGAAAGATAAATTGACTTGCTCATACACAGTCCTTTTATCCTAACACAGTAAAGCCCATGGTGCCGTGTTAAGACTCCAGGGACGACGCACTTTACCTTGCAGTGTTTATTTGAAGCCAATGCAATGACGCCATCCATGATCTCTGCGTCATTCGCGCCAGCATCAGTAAAACAGTAGATGGTGGAGTAATCTGGAGTGTTGATGAGTGCTAGCTGGAGACCGTGCCAGAACTTCTCCTCTAGACAGCAGCATCCGACCTCCATTTTCAGATCATCTATTACTTGTAGGAAGTCATTGGCATCTGTAGTTTTTGTAACGGGTCCACTGTCTGTAATGGTGATTAGATTATGAGAGATTTGCTGGTGATAAGAGTAGAATTACAAGATGGTACTAGACATGTTAAGCTTTAAAAAACAAATCGTGGTTCTTTTGGCAATATTAGTGAGGATCATCCTGTACTCTGAAATAAACGTTCAGTACTCATACTCACTCCTGACGTCATCTCTATACATCATCATCGAGTCATTATATACTAACACTAGTATCCCTTTTCAAGTTACTCGTGTTGTGACTGTGTTCATACATATTTTTAGGAATTTACCAACTATACTGAATATTTTCCTCGTTCTCCCCGATAAAGAAATATAAATACAAATCCATCTCAACTTCTTTTACTCTATTTGCCAAGACGAGCAGCTTCACGAAACAGCTGCTGCTATAAGTGTTATTGATATACTCTGCCAGCTGTGTAGGTGTGCACGGGGCTTATGACGTTTCTCTCAGATCAGTTAGTATCGGCTACAGACACACCTGTATATCTCGGTAATAAAATTCTTGTCTCACGTCTTCTGCTAGGTGTCTTACCAGGGTCTCCATATGGAACCAAAACAAAGAGCTCTGGCTGTGTTTTCTCGACAATAAGTCTTGCCTCTTTTCTCACAACTTCAATCTCGTCATTCATGGATGTTGTCTTGTCGATGACAATAGAGAGGGCTGAGCCGCGGTACAGTTCCAGCAGGTGCAAGAAACGTTCATCACCAATGACGTCTCGTAGGTTGGCGATGTAGCTCTCACTGGCCTTGGGAGAGCAGGTGTGGGTCAGGTTCATCTGCTCCCTTAATGTAAAGTATTCCTAACGGGTGTTTTCTGTAGTTATGATATCATTGTTTATTTCAAAGTTAAAAAAGAACAGTGCAGCAGTGTTATTTGTTCTACAATATTGTGATAAAATATGGTTAAGTGCAAGGCAGGTGATGGGAGAGACAATGGTAATGGTAGGGAGAACAACTGACCTTGATGGCCAGGTCCTTAGCTTGCTGGTGGAGGTGGTGGTGGGGAGAGAAGCAGGGGGAGGTGCTCTCCTTGTTGATGCCTCCAGTGGCTTCCTTGGTTCTTGAGGAGTCCATGGAACCTCCGTGGCTGCACTTACCTAAGAAAAGTCAGTTTTATAGTACTGTACCTCACTAAGTTCACGTCTTAATAATGTCCCCATTCTAAACAGCTTTTGATGCGTTAACTATTTTTTTTTATCAATAATTTATGACAATAATATTTGGTTATTTATAGTTTTTTTATTAGAGTTAAATGACCCCCAAAATATGAACTGACCTACGCCATCAGGTTTTGGTTTAACGAAAGACTCGGCCCCTGTGACGGTGTACTCGTAGTAGCCGCTGGTCAACTTGCTGCTGGGGATCAAGTTGTTGTCACACGACCCCTGTGTGTTGACAGATAGTCTTGTTTTATATTGTAGTGGAGTCTTTAAAGATAAACCTAGATGTCAAGTAACTCAGTGTAACACATTAAATTATTATACACGAGTAATGTTAGTTTCATATATTTTTTTTAGCAAGCCGAAACTATAAGAGTATCCAGTAAATATTCTACTGTTCATATTTGTAATTACTAATTTAACATCAACTCTGTGACTATTATAATCTTCCTTTGGTTACATTACTGTTATGACTCAACATGATCTGAAACACTTGTTAGAATATGACACAAAAATGGAAAGGTTATGAAGCTCGGTGTGATCACAGGAGGGAGAGAACTCACTTCAGTGTGGTCACAGTTGGTACAGGTGGGGTCGTTTGGGCCAGCCACCTCCCCTATGGCCATCCCGGGGAGGCCCAAACCCTCCAGTACCTCAGTGTTACCCAGCTCAACCCACGTCGTCTGGGAGTAAAAGTCCTGTGGGGGAGAGAAGTGTTAGAGGGAGAGTGATGGAGGTATGGAGAGGGAGAGTAAAATAAGTGTTAAAGTGAGTGTGAGGGAGATTAACTGTTAGAGTGTAGATGTGTGAGGGAGATTAACTGTTAGTGTGTAGATGTGTGAGGGAGATTAACTGTTAGAGTGTAGATGTGTGAGGGAGATTAACTGTTAGAGTGTAGATGTGTGAGGGAGATTAACTGTTAGAGTGTAGATGTCAAGTTCCTGTTATTAAGGTCACATCTCAAGAAATCGCAGGCGAGACATGTCGGTGGTCACATTTGTTACTGGTGAAATTTATTTTGGGCCTCAAGAAATCAAGGTTGCGAGAGCGTCCAATTTCAGTGAGCCACGCCTAAGACTTGTCAACGTAGGGGAAGTAGATGAGAACCTTCATTTTCTGCTACTGTCGACAAATTTGTAATATGATAGTTGAGAGAAGGCGGAGGATCCTTAGCTCTCACAACTATGCAAGACGCACGGCGAAGACCTATGGATTTTAGATTATTACAGCAACGTTTCATACATCATTTATAGTGAACAACTACAAGATATAAAACAAGGTGTGTGTGTGTGTGTGTGTGTGTGTGTGTGTGTGTGTGTGTGTGTGTGTGTGTGTGTGTGTGTGTGTGTGTGTGTGTGTGTGTGTGTGTGTGTGTGTGTGTGTGTGTGTGTGTGTGTGTGTGTGTGTGTGTGTGTGTGTGTGTGTGTGTGTGTGTGTGTGTGTGTGTGTGTGTGTGTGTGTGTGTGTGTGTGTGTGTGTGTGTGTGTGTGTGTGTGTGTGTGTGTGTGTGTGTGTGTGTGTGTGTGTGTGTGTGTGTGTGTGTGTGTGTGTGTGTGTGTGTGTGTGTGTGTGTGTGTGTGTGTGTGTGTGTGTGTGTGTGTGTGTGTGTGTGTGTGTGTGTGTGTGTGTGTGTGTGTGTGTGTGTGTGTGTGTGTGTGTGTGTGTGTGTGTGTGTGTGTGTGTGTGTGTGTGTGTGTGTGTGTGTGTGTGTGTGTGTGTGTGTGTGTGTGTGTGTGTGTGTGTGTGTGTGTGTGTGTGTGTGTGTGTGTGTGTGTGTGTGTGTGTGTGTGTGTGTGTGTGTGTGTGTGTGTGTGTGTGTGTGTGTGTGTGTGTGTGTGTGTGTGTGTGTGTGTGTGTGTGTGTGTGTGTGTGTGTGTGTGTGTGTGTGTGTGTGTGTGTGTGTGTGTGTGTGTGTGTGTGTGTGTGTGTGTGTGTGTTATGAATACAGGACAGTGTAAGAGGAGTCACCACATGTGTCACCAACTCCCCTACACACACACACACCTGAAAATTTTAGTGTTCTCACCTGTATACCATTGAGAGAGGTGCCCAGTAGCTCCCGGGCGAAGTCATACGTTTCATCAGCCATTATAGTCCTTATCAGCTGTTGGTAACGGTCCTGCAGGAGTGTGTGGCCCTCCAGGATACTCTCACCGTCCATGTGGTAGGCCGCCTCGTACCGCAGCTGCCCACTGGTCTCCGTCATGGCATTGCTCCACGCTATGTTGCTTACTGCCTGTAGAGATGAAGGACGTGTTTTGCAGTAGTTCATTTACACTCAGCATCACTTATCTCTTTGTCTGGTAACGAACTAGATACAGTATATCCTCACACGTGAATCTTTATAATAACGACTACAACAAGATGGGAAAGATGTTGATATAATATACTAATGCGCTTCAACTACTTAGGTCTTAGCGTATTCTTTGGCATTTGTATCAGTCATCAATAATTAAAAATCAAAAGATGCATCACTGGTTTGGGGAAAGAGAACCATACAAGGGAGGAGCTACCTTCATGAACCATACAAGGGAGGAGCTACCTTCTGATGCCATACAGGGAAAGAATAATATTTACCTTCATGAAACGTGCAGGGGAAGAGATGGGGCCGTAGTAAGCCCTGAACACCTGCGAGAGGGAGGCGTCCTCAGGGATGGTGAAGGACTCGTTGGTTGGTGGGTTCTCTAGGAAGAAGCGTCGTACCTCACGTCTGAAAGCTTCTCGTGTGATGGCCTGCGGGACACAAGTGATACAGTCCACATTATAAATAATTAACAGAAGACGTAATTAAAACATAGCGTACATTTTCTTCTGCAAGATTTAATTGTGACATGTGAATCCTCTGTCAGGCACTATTTGATAACTGTGTACGGTATTCCCATAGTTACAGGCATGGAGTATAGATCAATCATACTGAAAAATTATTGGTAACGTAATTTTCGAATGATGGGTCCTATTTAACGGTATTTTAATAAGTCCCTGAAAATAAGTGGAGTCAGTGGATGAAAAGGCGAAGAGTAAAAGTGCACATACAACACGATAAGACTCCAGAACTCACCTTATGGTCCCAGGTTTTTCCCGTCATTTGGTCAGGGCAGAAGAAGGGCACAACGTCTGGGTCTGAGTAGTTGAGCATGGTGGGGAGGAAGGCGGAAGAGGGCGGGAGTAGCATTAGCCTCCACGCCACCACCACCAATGACCACAACATCATCTCTCAACTCTGGATCGGAATGGTGGACGTGGTCATTATATATTGATATCTGATGAATTCAAAACAAAACCACCAGGAACACAGCCTACCATATGTATCTTCTAATTACAGACACGGAGACGAGTAGGGGGATGCTTACTGGAGCGATCTACCAGTGCAAAATGGCCGGAAATAGCGTCGCCCTGCCGATTCAAACTCCTACTCTGACTCTCTTCCGCATTACGCAGCACTACTTGTGAAGGACAGAGCTCGTATTAAGGAACAAGTGAAAGGCTCGGTGTCTATGAAATATACTGTGATAAAGCAGCGACCACGTGTTATTTGGTAGATGGAAAACTTAGTGTGAATGGACAAATCTGCACCAGGATTTAAGGGACGACTTTGTAAACCTTTACTCGTGAGTTTATTTGTTGACGTTTAGGGATGAAATAGCACTGTACTAGATTAAATCCTAAAACGTAAGTGACATCTCAATCAAAATGCGCAATAAAACACAAAGGAGATACTGTACATTGCTCAGAGATAATTCCAAATGTCTAATATTCTCCACCGATTTACAGTATTACAAGGAAGGTGAAGATTCCTTGTGGAGTGTATGATCTAACTTAACGTACGTACTTAAAGATGTTTTAAGTCTGCAGCACAAAAACACTTAATAACATCAACTTAAACTGGGGTACTGATGGTTCGCGGGTGATCGTTAGGTTGTATGGACCATTTCAATGTAATGAAATATATGGATGGTGTTTTGGGTCTCACTGAAATCCCCATAACACCCACGCACCGCTCTAATATGTTCCAGAATTTGTTTTTCTTCGGTCAAATGCGTCCCGTTGAGATTTTTTCCTTCTCTTTAATCAACTTTTAATATATCTCAAGCTACTTTCATCACTCACTAGCGAATATATTATATAATAGTAACTCTTTTTCGTTAATAGTACTATGGCTAGATGATATGACCTAAATTATTGGAGAGAAAAAATAAAACACGTAAGATTCTAGGTTTAATCAGGGTTCCAGGATAGTATATAACGCAGATAAACTAACCTCTTATGATGGCAGGACGAATGATAGGTGTTGTTTGGCGGCACACGACACAGTGAAGCTAGTGGGTCGGGGCAGTGATGGTAAGTACTTTTAACAGCAGGTGGGAGGACATGGCCTTGTGGGAACATGGCCACCGGCCCGACGCGACGCTGCTACTGCTGATTTCGTAATAATGAGATGTCAAGTTCAAGCTGCGGATGAGGGTAACACGTAATTATTTATCTTTCTGTGCGTTGTCATAATATTTACTGTTTTCCCGATTTTTACTCTACGAAAGAAGGGTTAGAGGATTGAGCGGGAATTTCCTGTGGATTATTATGGGAGGGAGGAGGGTAAATCCCCAGTCTCATCAAGCAGTAGCCCATGCTGAACAAGGCATAAAAATATCAGTATACAGTACTGCACTTAATGTTGTAGGAACAGGTAGTGGAATTTATATAAAACAAACTATATTTCTTATCACTGAAATAGGTGGCGAGCGTCGGTAAAAAAAAACATACTCGGAGTGTGCATCGTCTCTTCAGGGCGTTATACCATAGCGTCTTAGATTACACCATCCACAGCATCCATTCTTTTAAAGATAACATTATCCATAATGAATTATTCAAACGATCCGAAATAAATATTTTTTTTACCCAAATTTTTGAAATTACCAAATATTAAAACCTGACACGGAAATGAAAATATTAGTACGGTAATTCTCAAGATTATCACTGCCCACTTTGTCATAAAAAAATTCACCTTACCTTATAGAATATAAGTTGTTGCATCATCGAGATTCGTGCAAATATGAGGACAACCAACCAAAAGCTGCAATTTTATTTCATTTTTACGTCCTGTGGGTATTAGTCCTAGTCACAGTGGCAAGTGGCGCTTTGATGCTTTCGCTGGAACTGCCCTCCAGCGAATGAAAGCAAGCCATTATTGAACTACGTCTGACTTTAGCCAGAACAAACCATTCCACAATTGGCAATACTGCATTCAACTTTAGGCTTGGATGATAATACACAGTAGTTCGTTTCTGTTAAAATCATGGTGATGGTTAATTTTCGTTTCCTGGAGCGCTGACAAACGGCTCCGAGGAATGACATTAAGAAAAAATTTGCTGATGTGTGTGAGCAACTCATCTACTAATAGTTTGTAAACAAGTGATCGCCGCACCTTCGTGCCCAGTGAAAGTTTGAACGCTTGTGCTTGGCTAGCATACAGTGAATGAGGGTGTGCCAAGTCCGTAGACTTGCATGGTTAATTTGGGTGCGCCAAGTCCGTAGACTTGCATCGTTTTCCATCGTAAATAAAATTTTGGTTAATTAATGCCTTCCTAAAGAAACCATCGACAAGGGACCAGGTTTGTTCCACTCTACTAATTTTTTGCGATTTTCCCACCAAGTTTGATGAAAAACGATTGTGCCGTTTCGGCTGCCCAGAACAGACAGACACACGCCTAGTCCTATAGTATATTAGATTGTAACTAATAATGACAGCGCCACGCTGTTTTAAATCGTGGAATAGTCAGATACCGGATAACAGTTACTGGTAAAAATGTCACCACAAAACCCCACCAGTAAAAAATTACCCTGAAATTTGTGCACTTGGTTAAGTTGCTGTCTTTTTTATCTTCGGGTGGTTTTATTTCCTCAACGAACACCCTAAAACGTGTAGCCTAGTTCACCTTAACCCAACTTGAGTTACTGTCCTTCACCCCGTTTTCTCCTGTCCAAACTTAGCTTACTGTTAATTCACTTGCTATAGCCTGATAATTTTTCCCATCGCCTAACACAAAGGAGTGAACTTTCATTTGTCGTACTGTACGCCTAATGTTTCTCCCACCTAAGTGTACCCATTTATTATCTCAATGGAACACTGTTATGGAATATTAAAAAGTTGCAATTGCGGAAGTAATACTGGCGTCAGGGTTAATGGAAACAGGAGTAAGTGGGTTGGAATGATCGCGGAATTGCGTCGTGACTGCACTGTCTCCCTCTTTTTTTTTTAACGGACTGCAGCGCGGGAGATGAGGACAAGGAGTGTTTGTAAGAGAACCTTTACTCTCACTATTATTGTGTGAATGTTAACATAGTATTACGTTCTTTTAGTTTGAAATAAACTGTGTTAAATTGTTAGTTTTTTTTAAGTGAACAGAGGGAGGAGGAAGATGTTAATTAACTATTGGGAATTATTAAGAGCTCATGTGTCCAACAGATGGGGAAGCTTAGTGTAGAATTTGCACCGAAGAAAGTCGATGATTATTTTCAAGTACCTGGTAGAGTTTTCTTTGTGTAAACAGTATAAAGAAGACATTGGGTAAGAATAGAATAGTACGAGGAAGAACAAATATAGGTATTTCACAAGTAGAGTGCAGAGATACAGGAAGTTTTCATTGATCTAGTTTTATTTGAAGCACCTGTGCATGTATGGTACTGCACAGTATTTGAAGTCTTAGTTCACTATATGCTGACGGGTAAGAAATAAGAGCAAGAGAGGTGAGTACGTAAAAGTTAGATACGATAAAGAGTAAAAATAAGCGAATTACTTGCTAAGGATTACAACTACAGTTCTGTATGTAATATTATAGATTACCCGTTCACAGTGTAGCACAACAACCAGTAAGCAGAGTAGTATATTTAAGTCTCTACTAACTAAACTCAAATTAATCTAACCTAGTTAAACACAGCTGTTTCTCGCCAACCGTATCCACACTAGCCAAGCGTAACCCAATTTAACCTTGAAATTATTATACAATTGAAATTTGAAACTTTGCTCTCTTATCTCTGTACAGTTACATAGTTAAGGTATTTATCAATCAATGAGGACAAGTTGGCTCTTCAGTGTTGATGAAATCTCTTTAAGGTCCCTTGAGCCATTTGCACATGTGGAACATCAGTATAGACCATCATTATTTGTATTCGGTAAAATTATTTTATGCCTTAAACGCTGTGATATTTTCCTGAGACGAGGAGCCGGAGCTGTAGAGAATAAACACATCACGGCGTAGGATACAGTTATGTGCAGCGAATGAGGTAGTGCTTATTGATGTTTCGGATCTGTAATTTCCTCGAGAGACTTTGTAAACATAATGTGGAATTTGGAAAAGTATTTAGAATTTTGTGTTACGAATGTTCGAAGTCAGATTAGATTCCAAATTGGGTTTTTGAGAAGACGGGTAGAAACCATAACCCAGTCTAAACTAACTTGTAACTGAGTTTGAATCAGTATCCTCTTGACTCCCTCCCTCTCTTTGTCTGAGGTGACGCAGCTGTAGCGGAGAGCGTGTGAAGCTAACAAACACCCTCTCACAGGCATGGAATCACAAATAACAAGTGTGTACCAATGGCTGTTTTCCATTACCATTATAGTTATATAAAATTACGGTTCTATAACAACATTCCGTTTATTTTCAGCGGCGTCAGGCAGCTTCAGGAATACCAGCAGTCTTGACCAAGTCTTATTCATGTTATCATATAGTGGAACTGGTCATCACTGGACCTCTCATGACGCTGTTACTTAACCCATAAACTATATCAGCGTGGACAGTGATGGTCTAACACGGTGTTATTCAACTCGATGGGATTGTGTAGCTTTAACCATTATTGTTACGAGAGATTGTGTCCAGCTGTTTCCTCTGATGGGATTGTGTTCGAACGGATTTTACCTGGTTGGATTTTGTCCGTTAAGATTTCTATTGATCCAATTTTGTTTGATGGATTACTTCTTTTTTACGTATTTATTAATTTAATTATTTATTTTAATTTTTTTGTGTGTGAGATGGTCTACTTAAATATATTGACGGTGGGAATGTAGCGTGCGAGAGAGGGAGGGGAGGGGGGTGTTCGTCCCTGTACCAGTGTGTGAGAGGGGGTAGGGGGTACTCAAGGCGGTGTTCGAGGAAGTGCACGTTGCAACAACTGTTAGACAGACACACAGAACGGGACCCCCACCCCTCACCCCTCACCCCACCACCTCACACCCTCACCCCCACTGTCATTCCCCCACCCCTCACCCCTCACCCCCACCACCACGCCTCACCCCCACAATGCTTACCTCTCTCCCGCCCACCCACGGTACTGGGATCAATGGCACTACTGTCCGTCCAGGCAAGGCACTGTTGAACGTGTGAACTAACAACAGTAACCTCTCACAATAATGTCTGGAACGGATGACACTATTGACCTGATGAACTAGTGTCACTTCACAGGGAGGCGGCGACGCGGTTAGTTATAATTGAGGAAATTATTTTTATTTCAAAACTGTAGGTTCAAATTATAGATAACCACAATAATTATCAAAGTTAGAGACGTAAACGTATGGTCTTATAGCACAAGGGATACAAGATTCCCCCTAAAAGCCTATTTAGACACACAATAGGTCATAAAGTACAGAAGCACTTAATTATTAACCTAAACACATGATCCGAAATTAAAGAGTTTGAGGTAAAGGAAATAACACAAACAAATCACATAGAGAAATTACAGGTTTGTTCAGATATGTGAGCATTATTACAGGTGTAGGACGAAGGTAAGAATGACCCAGTAATACCAACGCGGCGGTGGGATAATCACAAGAGAACTGGACATGAAATTACTCTTACTTGGTGATACGCACTTGGTAATAATGTCAGGTCTGGGTTCTAATCATCTCGAGTACAAAGTTGACCCTCATGATATACTGCCAGTAAGCCCCCCCCCCTCTCTCCCCTTGTGGTGTATATGTGTGAGGGGGGGGAGAACTGTCACCACGAGGAGGGGGGGGGGGCGCTAGGGTAAGGGCAGGAGGTAAAGGTAGGGGTGGGAAGGGAGGTTAAGTGAGGGGGAGGGATGGTAAGTGAGGGAAGGGAAGTATTAGGGATGAAGGCAGGAAGTTAAGGGTAGGGGAGGGATGGTGAGTGAAGGCAGGGAGGGATAGGGGATGAGGGTAGGGTAGGAACAAGGAATGAAGGTCGGGAAATACTGGAAGTGAGGGGAGGTGGTGTTGTGTGTAGGGGAGGCGGGGGCTAGTGCATACCTCGCCCCCTGCTGCACTCACACTGTTGGAACATTTATAAAGGAAGTGTTGGTTCGCTATCCTTGACTGAGGTTTTTGTTGCGTGTTATGGAGGAGGGGAGGTAGAGAAGGGTGAATAGGGAGGAGGGGAGGTAGAGAAGGGTGAATAGGGAGGAGGGGAGGTAGAGAAGGGTTAATAGGGAGGAGGGGAGGTAGAGAAGGGTGAATAGGGAGGAGGGGAGGTAGAGAAGGGTTAATAGGGAGGAGGGGAGGTGCATGGGGAAGGGGGAGGAAATAGAGGGAAGTGTTGGTGATAAAAGAAAGAGGAGACGGGGGTGTGAGGAAGAAAGGGGGGGAGGAGAGTGAGGAAGAAAAGGGGAAGTAAGTAGGAAAAAAAAAGGCAGAAAGGTCCACTTAAATTACAGTCTGGGTGTAATGAGGTTGTTTACTATTGGTTAGGTTAGGTTACAGTCTGGGTATAATTTCGATTCTAATGAGGCTGTCTCCTATTGGTTACTGAATGAGTTTGCCAGTCGGTTAACTTCACCCATCACCAGTCAAGAGTCAAAACATAGCACACGAATACCCGACAATCGTATTCCTCGGCGCTACTCGTTAAAATTCGACCGTACTGACATTTATAGCATTGTAAAGCCCATAATCCAGGTTATGATTGGTTGCAGCAGGTCACGTCACGTCAGGTCACGTCACGTCATGTCATGTTTCTCAAAATAGATCACTCTTGACTGATACACTTGGGACGTACAGGTATTAATTAGACTTGACACCTGGTAAGAAACACATAAACAAGAGCTGAAGGAATTACTGTAGTATTGTTTATGTCATGTGTTTTAAGGAAAAAAAATATTGATTGTGATTCAATATGTAGCTGTTATTTTGTTCTCCATTATTCTATTTTGTGTACAAGGTTCTAATAAATAATCATGATATAAACTAACCTAAACTAGACTAACCTAACCTAACCTAATCTAACCTAATCTAAACTAAACTAACCGAACCTGACCTAATTTAACCTATGTGAGGAGTCGTTGTGGTGGTGAGGTACGGAGGAGGAGGAGTAGGCGAGGTGGGAGGAGGGACAGGTGAGGAGGAGGGACAGGTGAGGAGGTTCCCACGACAGGTGAGCCTAAGCCTAGGACGTGTAAGGTGAATACTTATTGTTTTGCCTGGACAGCACCTGCATTGTCCTGTTTATGTTATTATTTTATTATTATTATTATTATTATTGTTATTATTATTATTATTATTATTATTATTATTATTATTATTATGATTCTTCTTCTTCTTCTTCTTCTTCTT